GTGCGCGCGTTGTGATTGGTTGTCTAAAAATAGATTATCGGGACATCTGATGGTGGCGATACCAATGGGGAGATGGACACTTCTGGTTATGTACTTCTGACAGGGTATGGATTTTTATTTTCTAGTGTCTTAAACAGGGTAAGGGTTTTAGACCACTGGCGGCACGTACCTATCCAAAACGGGGTCGGGTACCCCCCGGGGGTATTTTAAATGGAGCTTCTAGCAACAATTATATATAATATGCTTATTAGGTGTTAGCCACAGATCGGAGTTTAGCATAGGTTATAGTACATTCAGTGAAACAAAATTTAATAAATGTTATTAATGTAAAAGACACGTTACGACCATAATGATTTTTTTTGTTTCATGTTGGTTTTCATTCCATAACTTTTCTTGATAGAAACTAAAAAACATCAAAAAAATTTTTTTAATTATTTTAATAGCATATTTTAAATTTGGAAGTACAAGTATATTGATTTTTCATTTTTTTTTTTTAATTTCGTCATGACGGCTTAATTGATACTTCTAAGGAGTACAATTAACGCTATAACTGTGCTCCTCTCGACCAATGAAAAAGTATTATTTTGTTGAATGTACTATAACATGAGGAATTTTTGTTTCATACCACTCCATGTATTTCGAATATATTGAAATTCGATTGGAGAATTMAAATTTTTAAAGTATTTTCAACTGACGGATTTGACGAAATACCTGCTGCTGTGCAATTATTGTAAGACAATACACTCATCTTTATTTATAGCTGGTGTATTTGCCGTCACATTGGCGCTAATCATTAATTTTAACAAATGTTTACGTTTTAAAATAACAATGAGAATGAAATTTGGCGGGAGTTTTATGCAAACTATGGAACATTTTATTTCTTAGGGCTCTTGAGATGATGTGATTGCATARCTGGATTTGTTCCAACATCATAATTGTTTTTTAAATAATTGTCACGGAATAATTCAACAAAAATCTAAGGGAAGATTTCACTTTTTAGTAAGTTTGAATTTTATTGTACTTTTTTAATTTTTGTAGGTATTAAGTTTGAMAAATATCATTAATTTTACTCTTGGTGAACCATCAYGTTGTCACACATTATTTTTTCTTGGTCCTCCCGTTATATTTTTCTACATTCATGTTTTCCTATCTCTCCTTCTCTTCTCATTTTCGTCGTCGTCTTTTTCTCTTCTTTCATTGTTTACACATTTTTGCTGATTATTATTGATCTTTATGAGTGGTCTTCTACTCTTTTCGACTTCTTTTTTACTCCTGTCTTCCTTTACCTTCTATTCTTTCTCGTGTATCATTTTTCGTTGTGCGTGCTATTCTAGAAACAGGGTTAGTGAAATAAATTTATTCATGCTTGACTCTMGAAAAATCTCATATTCAGTGTTTCAATTGTTGTCAACTAGAGAAGCAAAACAAAATTGTATTAACAATTCTATAGATACAGGTAGCACCATTCAATGTAATGAATATATCTCCACGAAACATGTATTCTTTGCAATAAGACAATAGGAACCTACAATGCACAGGAATCACATATAGACATGTGTAATGTTATATCGTTCTAAGGTCWGCACTATGCACCTCTGGTGTGCACTATGGGCAACAGGGACCGAGAGACAAYAAATATAGCTATCCAAACGGACAGCAAATTGTACGGCCAACAAACATGACTGATTTTTTTAGCAGATATTGCCTTTACGTAATGTTAATTTTTTATTGTATTGTAAAATTTCCAAAATTTGCAACAAATTGTGCGTTATGTATTCTAAAGCACTTGATAAATGTTCGATAAATGGTAAGGTTTATATTACGTTTTGGCACTTATTTTACACTATTTGCTATGAAAAATTGTGTTCCACTCAATACCCGCGGAATTTTTTAACTTACAATATTTGAGGAAGTGACACCATTTGTTACGTGTAACAAATCGATGTTGTCCTGAGACGCATTGTTTGATGAGACCGACGTTTTGACAACCTGAGCGGTAATCATCTTCAGAGTAAAACTAGATGAAAAATAACAAATGAAAAACTCAAAACAATGCAAGGTGTAATATGTTTTGTAAGTATTGATGTTGTCTAATGCAGCTAAGCTATCACAAAACCAAACAATCGAAAAGCGTTATATGCACCTGCTGTAGATCTTTCTTTTTCATTAATAAAATCTAATTTTCTAGAACCGTGATTTATTTTTTATGCAGTCAATCTTAGAAGTAAAAAAAAAAACAAACTAAAAGAATTGATGTAACCTGCTTTGAAATTGGCTATTATTTTTATTTTGTTGATTTAAACAATGGAAATTTTGGAGCTTTTATTAGGAATATCAAAGGTTATCTTACTTAGGCTATTATTCAAAGGTCTAAAAACATCACGTGGATAACCATGGGGTTTCTTTTTCGATCTTTTTGCAGCTGAAGTACTAAGAAAGGATGCTTTTCAACTAACAGTCTACCAAACTCATCTATTGAAGCGGAAAATGAAGAAAATCAAAACCATTCGAGAAATAAGTTTGCTATTAATCAATTTTTGTATTATGGGAGCTGAAAGTAGAGGAAATCTAATGCGTGATAACGGAAACAAGTATGCCTATATCAACTTTGTCAAACATGAGAATAGTTCACTGAATGTAACACCAGCATTGAGTGGTTATGTACGACGGCCAGGAGAGTGTGCGTTCATTTGTGCCAACTTGTCCAATGGTTTCTCATTCAATTATGCTGACAACGCTGATGAACATGGACGACATGCTTGTGATATTCTGTCTACTGACAAATACAACGACTCAGCGAAGTTCGTAACGAACAAAAAAGGATTTACACACTATAGTATCAAGGTAAGTAGATCTGTATTCAGGCTTTTTCGTTAGGGTGTCTTATTAATATCATTTGCCCCAAAAATGTCAATTTATTGGCGTTTTTATTGAGAAGTCAGATTTCATTGGGGTGCAGGAGGAGTCCCGCTTGTTTTGATCATAGAATGAAACACGAAAATCCGTTTTATATATTGTCATATATTTCATATATGTTTTTTACAGCCTTTTGCAAAAATTATTAGAATTGTCTAAATATCTAAATATCATAATATCCATATCCATATATTGTCCGGAACACGCGGGTTTACTAAAATAATTCATTGTTGACATCGAGAAAATGTTCAGAACTACGGATAAGTCTGTCGCCAAAAAAAACTAAACTACAAAGACAAGGGACTAAGGKCATCGCGYGKGATTACCCATTATGCACTCGATATTATGATATTTAGATATTTCAACAATTCTCATAATTTTTGCAAAAGGCTGTATATTTCTTTACTGAAATATATACAGTATTTTTTGAAATAATTTTGATTATAAACGGCTTTTCAATTGCTGATAAAACTAGAAATTCTCCATATTGCGTCATCGACCAATCAAAATTCTTGTAAGATGAAGAGTGGTTGAACTCAAACCACAGAGGCAAGAAAAATTGCGGATAATTTAATAAGATYTTCTAGATTTTATTTTTATTTTCTACCTAAATAAGCTCGACCAACTTAACGAACAACTATGATCAATGTGCTACTTTTATTCATGTGATACCATGATCACCTYGGATTCATTTGTCTTCCGAGGGATGTTTACAAGCGAACATCCCTCCCTCATGAATAGCATGAGGGACGATTACTACTTCAACTTCAATTTTTTCCTCGGAAATCATGGTTATTGGTTGGCTATTACAAAGTAATAGCATGTAATGGCATGTCCCTCAGCCTCGCTCAGATATTAAGTAAAAGTCCCTCCGGCATGCGGCCGTCGGGACTTCAACTTATCTACCCTCGGATTCGGGGACATTTAATCCCTAATCTTCCTCAGAGCCATGCTTTGTCTGAACTTTTCCCCTGTCTTCGCAGACATATTACTCTTGAAATACTTTCGCTACATTGCTCATATAGTAAAGAATGTTTTCAAATTCTAAAATGGTTGTTCYGCATAAGGTGTAAAATTGTCATAATGCAAACTTCACTTCGTTCGCCTCCATCCACAGGCAGCCCAAGCTAAGCATYTAACTAGCAGATTATAGCAATATCTATAATGCATGTAAAAATAAAAATAGCTTATGGTGACCGGAAGTGTAATTTATGTGGCTCGACCTCTGTAGGAKATGCATTTCAATACATTATGTCTTGCAAATTTGAAAAACTTGAGATATTAAGGAAAACATTTTTACAAAACCTAGGGTTGATAAACCAAGTTTTCAATGTATTTTTAAATATCTTTTGTCAATGAAAGATGAATCTATTACAAAATTATYTTCCAAATATTGTTTTGAAGTTTTAAGTATATATAATGATGAATGTAATTAATATATAATTATTCCTTTATGATTGTAATTATATTTTTTAACATCTTATTAGGTGTATTGTTAACATTTGTATCCTATGTATCAATTCGATATTTTGAGGATTAAAGTCATTATTATTATTATTGTAAATACGAAATYTTTGAAAGAAAAAATAAGTAAAAAACATTTGTCTTACCTTATGCTGTGGTCTTAGTTATGAATTAAGGCGTAATTTGCCGTTTTTCTTTGATATYTCCCCTCCTTTACTTATATCACTGAAAGGCAGGACAGACCGGCTCTAAAAAATTCAATGGTCAGATCACTTTTTTCAGCAAAAATTGCAACTTTTTCGTCCAAATTGTACCGAAAATCCTCGCCATAGCCACCACCAACCGTTTTTCCAACTCCTGTGTAAATCTCAATGTCAAAGAAAAACGTTCAACGGAGATTAAGAGTGATCTAGATCGATTTTCGGTCTCTTTCGGTGAATCCCGCAAGACGTTGTGCCCTACTCCACCGCCAAACGTAGCCAGAACCTCGGTTTGGCGAGGACATTTTAATACGCACCACTGGATGGTGCGTATTACATGCATTATAGATATTGCTATAATCTGCTAGTTAAATGCTTAGCTTGGGCTGCCTGTGCTCCATCGACTACATTTTCCTTTTTCTTGTCCGCTCTTGAAGTAGATCAACAAGGACTAATCATGTGCCGTGTAATATGTGCGTACGTTGTGATTGGTTGTCTAAAAATAGATTATCGGGACATCTGATGGTGTCGATATTACTAGCGAGATGGACACTTCTGGTTATGTACTTCTGATCAGTTCTGGTTTATGATATATTTCAAATGGTCGTAACTCTGCTGATATTCAACATTTTGAACTAAAACTCTGCCACCTTACTAGTTTAGATGTTTCTTTTTTATGGTAAAAACAGATWWAAAAAAACATTGAACCGTTTAAAGTGCACATTCTCAGTCTTCTTACCTTTTTTCAAGTATGGTCAATGCGAAACATGGAAACATAAAGAGTTTTTTTACTAATCATGTTATATCTGATGCCTATTTAAAACTGTTATAGCGCATATAAATGTATAGCTTTAAAGGAAATATAATCACATTTACATCACATTTACACACTTTTTACAAAGTTTTGGACATTGATGGGATATTTACAACCTACTTTGTAATTTTTATAGATTGGATTTACATCATAATTCCATTAAATTTACAACATTCATTTTCCAGTGGAACCATTTCTTAAATCTTTGAAATTGAATTTTAACCGATAGAAATGGTACGTAAAGGTTAAAAATTAATACAATGAAGCGAGTATACATGTATCCATTTTGTAAGACTCCAAGGAATAATTCACTTTTCGACTTGTTTGTCATATCGAAAATCAACAGCGCGAGCGTGCTTGATAATCCCAAAATAGAAAATGATTTTTGACCAATCACAGTGTTATTTTTAATTTTAGAATTTAATTTAAAAATAGATACAACTCATTTCTTGATATCATGTGTTATTTTTACCTGATTAAACTTAAATGATGTTTATATATTTCAAGAAAAACTATAATTGTAACAGACAACGATTCTGTACGCTGTTTGTTGTTGTGTTGATGATGTTATCGGCATGACAACGTTGTCTGTCACAATTAGCTTCTCTTATCTATTGTTTACCCAAAAGTAAAATGCCCTTAAATAAAAWACGAGTGATACTCAGKTATTTTTTACCCAATCCCAATGTATGAATCCCAATTGCCACTGACTCATGCAAATCCCTGTTGCTTGTACATGTAGAGTCCATGCGAATCCCAGCCGTGTTTCAACGGAGCAACTTGTAAAGGACTGTATGAAGTAGACGACTATCAATGCTTATGTCCTATAGGATTTGGAGGAAGTCATTGTGAATCAGGTAAAAGAAATTGACAATCAAAATGAAAAACCTCTCAATAAAAGTACTTGCATATAGATAAATGTTAGTGGTGTTTAGTTTTTCTGGATTAATAAAGGCTGCTAGTAAATAGCCAAAATGTTTTCAAATTTGGCGCCATTTTGAATTTCTGCTTTATGGAAATTTATTCAAAATTACAAAATGTACAAAATTTAGGAATTGAAGAGGTTATAAAACGAAAMTAGTTTTCCTAAAAGTCCTGTTGTTTTGTTGCGTAAAGATTAGTAATATGAGTTTAAACTCTTACACATAAGGAAATTCATTCAATGACGTCATTAGAAGGGGCAGATCTCAAGCCGTTTTGCGCCAAATTGATAAGTCAGAAATTCGCTGGGCTGGTTGTTATGAATATCCTCCATAATAATGCTTTTAAAACTCATTCATATTCATTAGTGGTATGGATYAATCGAAATCCTAAGATCGACCAAGTGACACACTCTATAACAGCCGATACTTAAAGCCGGGGGCGGTTTTGAAGTTTTCCAGGGAGTGCGGGGTTTGATTAATATTTTGATTTATGCTGATTTATGCACGTGCTTGATGAACCGAAGTAGTTATAAAACTGTTTAATAAACATGAGTGTTTTAACTCCACGTCATCACACAGGTAAAACACAAAATCAAAATCAAAATCGTACGAAGGTAATTCTTCCTTTTTTGAACTAGCTGAATTAACTGGAGCCAATGCTGCACTAGCATTTTGTATATGAATTTAAGCTGGGCTCTCATATCGCAATAAAGCTTCCGACTTATGTCCTGTTCTTTTTCTTATGAGTTTTTCTTCCACCCCTTGTTGGAAAAGATTTGTGGCACAAGTGACCSTTAAGCGAATGCGCTGTTTTACGTGGAAGTCCAGCAGCCTTTAAATAACTTATCGGTCAATATCTTATTCAAGCTATTAATACCAACTATTGCCTTGTCAAATCCTAGAGCATTTGGTTTGGGGCGAAAATAGAACGCCTGTAGCTTGTCAGCAAATTCTTCGATTAAACTCAAGTACAACTTGTATATTATGCACATTAATGGTAATGTCTTTCACCTCCCATAGTAAATTTTCCTTCGAAGCATCTTTGTTAATTCTCTCTTTCTGCCACTCTTCGAAAATTTTTCTAGCCCATTTAGTTGAGTATTTAGTAGTAGAAGGTACAGATTGTTCCAACGTTTGCTTTTGCTCCTCTATACTTTGAACTTGCTTGAAGCGCTTCATGTTCAAAATGACACGTATTCTAATCTAAGCATTTTCAAAATCCCAAAAAGCAACTAAAATGCCTCTTATAAGACAAAGAATTATTTTCGAAATATAATCCCCCTAATCAAGCGATAATCAATGCCTAAAGATACCTTTTCCCTTAGGAGAAAACAATGTATTGTTTGAGAAAAAAGTTTCAGTAGCCTTTTGGAAGGCATTTAAAAATTTAAGAATTGTAATTTTAGTTCTWGGCCACGCATTATATTCAGACATGCRCAAACGTCTGGACTCTATATGACAGATGTAATCCTTCCGTGGATTTGTACAAAGGCCGATTTACGCGGTACGATTATGACTTGTGGTATACGACTCAAATGAACTCCAAATCTCGTCGTGTAAATGCCCCTACGACCTGCCTACAACAGTTGTACTAAACCTATGTTCTGAACCACGACTAAGACTTATCGTAGGAAAATTGTATACTACAAGTCGCATGCGACAATCGTACCGTTAAGTTTAGGCCTTGTCCATCCGTAGCTTGAAATTATGCACGCAGTTCGTTTGTTTGTTTATTGTATTCAGCATGTTCACTTTTTGGATATCACTGAACATTTCCAGGTACAGTGGGACACGTGTGAACGGTTACTTMTAGCGGAACTCCCGCGTGGGCCAAAGCCTCACGCAAGCGGAGCACCATATCTAAGAAAAAAAAGACTTCATGGACTGACACAGTGTTCCCGCGCGTACGTACGTTTCCGACCGCCCTTTCTTCCGTCGCTGTACCACCACAGGAAACCCCTACTGCGCGCAAAAAGGGAAAAACATTTATATTCCAAATTGATAACATTAAAAAAATCAATCACAAGCATTGGAAATACGGAAAAATATGGGGGAAAGCAACGATCTGCGTGATTCTTTTTTACCGAAGAGTGTGGACATTTTGAAACCAAGACCATGCTAGAAGCACTGRACAAAATTACAGCTTTAAATGATTTTATAAATTGATGAAACTTGTGTTTGAAATAAGCATGGTGATGATTTTGAACCGGATAAATTAAGTCGAGTTTGCCATTGGATGCCTCATCATTAGTTTTACCGACGAAAACAAATTACTATCTATAGCATTTTCTTGGTATTTGAGAGAGGAACAAGATATTCTTGTACAGTTTGCTGTGATGATAAATGAAGTATAAATAGCTGAAGAAAAATTTGTTGCATCATTTGTCTAGTARAAATGGCACTTACTCAAGTTTTTATTCGTATATTTATCTATTTTTATTGACTTTTTAATCAGAAGACATTTCCAATGAATATTTTTAGAAGTATTTATAGTTGATTGACAAAAGGTTGTCGTCGACCGGACTTCGAAGCCCGCGACCAACCCGAACAGGTTTCTGGGTAAAAATCAATGAACTGACAAATTAGGCACAACAACACCTTCTAGTATAGTGCCAATTTTTTTCGGCTTTTATTCTCTTTTTTTAAGAACTCGAAGACAAACGTTATACGTTGTATTCTCCGCCGTGACGAAAAACATTGTGAGATGCAAAAGCAGGATCACATGCATGCATAATTARATTTTCGTGATTTGGAAATTTTTGTCACAAGTATGTGTCTTTCAATTACAAMGGCGTTCAAATCTTTAATTTGCCAGGTCATTGATTTTTACCCAGAAACCAGCGTCGTTTYGTGAAACCGGGTCGGTTTGTCAATCGACTATGTGTGCATAAAGTTGTTGGATTTCGATGAGTAACTATCATGCATCGATATGCATTTATTGCCTGCAAAGACAAACGAAAAAATTGGTTATGTCAGAGGGCTGGAAAAAAAATGCATTTTAAATGTTGAATAAATTTCTTTGGTTGCGTTTACTGGCCAAGCCGTTTTTACAGCGAGATAAATAATGACGTTAAATTTGTATCATTATTGATGCAGAGATTAACGAATGTGACAGCAATCCATGTGCCAATATGGGAATCTGTACAGACTTATTTGGTGCTTATAAATGTACTTGCCATCCTGGATTCTCCGGTGACCAATGCCAAATAGGTAAGAGTTTGCTAATCTTACACGATAAGAGTGATCTTTTCTTAAAAGACATTTAAGGTCAACATTTTCCCCCATGTACCTAACGTCACATACAATTCGTTATTCATTTCTTTGGCAATTTGCACTACAATTACAGGTCACGTGACCCCACAAACCCTATAACGAGCTTCGACGTCAAAAAGGACTCCATAAAGGCAAGATGATCTTATCAAACTAATAGCATTGCAAKGTTTTAGCATTGATGAGCACATATATGTCAAACATTCGAAAATACAATATAGTTAGTTTATGCAGGGTTTTTTCACGGAGCAATTTTTAWGAAAATGCTCTCATCTTATAAGCTGAAACATTTCGAGGTGGAGTCACGTGACCTGYCATTGTAAGACACCCACAATGCCTGTCAGCAGAAGTATTGCTAAGTAGGTCTGGAGCGCTCTTTCTCATATGGATGCACTCTTCATTTGATCTTTTATTTTATATTCGTTCTTAAACAACTCAATGAAATATTTACTTAGTCTTATTTTCATAATAAGTATCCTTATACCAGCACACCTCAAGTACAAAGGCTTCTAAACTGGTCATATTTTGTCATTTCTAGTTGCTCCAGGAGCTTTGTTAATAAATGGTCTTCACGTCTGTACCTACACAGAAAGGTATTAGTATTACAATATATTACGCAATATATCTACATCCATACCAMGAACAATATAACAAAAAATGCAATCTATTACATTTAACATTGAACATTTCTCTGACTGGAGCATGRTCACATGCTCAACAAGCAATAAGACTATCTATTCAAATTGGCTTCACATGTTTAGTGTATGTGTGTGTAAAACGATTTGATTTCCATCCAAAAGAATGATTGGTTGAGCGTTTTATAAAATCAATTGACCATATGAAAAACGAGTAGAGACTGGCAATGAGAACCTTAAACGATCGATGWTTTTTAAAAAGATGTTTTTAAGAAAGGATATATAATAAAAGGTATATCTAAATTAGTAAATTGGCGGAGGTTTAGTTTCAAATTTTTAATATCAGCAGAGTTACTAGCATTTGAAATTAACCAAAAACGTGAAAACGAGGCTGCTAAGGATTTTCACTCAAACCTTTGACACCTGTAATTTCTGGTTACTAAATGCTAGAGCATTAAAACTTTCAGATCTTACTATATAATATGTTCTTTCAACGGGTATTAATGATATATTAAACAACTTATAAATTAAGGTGTCACGATAGCCACGCCCTTTTTCATATGGTCTTTAGTGTTTTATTTCACAAATTAATTTCCCTTTGCTGAGCGTTACATGGAGTACAACATGTTCAGAAGACGTGTGAGAGTCAAAACTGTTGCCTAAGGAACAAAACACTAAGAGCGTTTAAAATAGATATTGACTGTTACAATTTAATGGCTTTGCTGTRCCTACAGTTACGTACTAGCCTACCTCCAGTCATACAGTGTAACTTACAGTCAATCATATACCTATGGTTGTGGATGGTTTGGATGGTGGAGATGCACTGGACATAGGTATGTCATGAATAGCTCGCTTGCACCCCGTGTTTSTCCCATAATTTCCCAGCGTGTTCTACTGAATGTAGTACGACAAAACCTCTAATTTTATTAGTCGAACATTATCAACATACAAAAAGGTGCTGTCAATTTAAACATCTCTTGAAAACTGTCGCTGATTTGGATAGACCTTTTTAATCGGCAAACTCCTGTGGTGGTCCGTTGTCATAACTACAAAAAATTGCACTTATGCGAATGCTCAACAGGAGATTTGGCAAGCTGGGTTTCAGCTTTGCTCAGCGGTTTCATCGTTTTAAGRATGTGAAAAGGCGAATGACGGCACAAAACATAGAATTGTTTTGGTCCACACCGAATCTGACCGATCGGATTATCCATAAATGTGTTATTTTATTGATTTCAGGCAAATAAAATATTGCCGTATATTTCAAAGACTTTGTCTTTCAAGGAAGGAAGGTTCCCAAAMCCCTGAAACCATCCCTTTAAAAAGACCCTAGACAATACCGTTTTACCAATCTTSTCTTTACTAATGTCTAAACCCTCTTAATAGAATACTTTTTTGATTGGTTTAGAACACTGTACACCAAAAAGTATCGCACCGCATATAGAAACAGCTACAGGATTGGTCGCAGATGCTGCGGTGGCTGGAAAAATCCACAGGACTCTGRTGAATGCACGATAAGTAAGCATAAATAAAGATGCACAAACAAAATCGATAAAATTCAAATACTGATGAAGCTAGTCCATMTAAAATACACCTTATTAACAAGACTACTGCCATATTGAATTTGAATATTGAATTTTGTGAAGTAATATTGACCCTCACTGATCAATGTCAACATCGTGAAGTTCGTGGTCAGTGCCTTCTTCAAAAGCATTTGGATAATATTATATATAGTGCGAAATTCGTATTTGGACGAAAGGTTTTCGTAACCACTACGTGGAACCTACCGTGTCTAGTATTGCCGTGAAATATGTATTTCAAAAATACGAGAATTCGACCTAAATTTCAAGGGGCGGACGGGAAAGAGTTAATAAGAACTAGGGARCTCTTTTTCTGCGGCATTGCAACTTTCCTACGTACAAATGTCTTGGTTTTCACACTGATTATATATCAACCTATGGGAAACACATAAGTTTTGAGTGCTTATGATTGGATAAGAGCTTTTAATACAAAAGAAACTTTGTTTCAAAATAGAGTTTATCCACATTTTATTTTTGAAATAAAATGTGGATAAACTCTATTTTGAAACAAAGTTTCTTTTGTATTAAAAGCTCTTATTCAATCATATGCACTCAAAACAATAGCCACAAGATGCTTCTAATTTGCTATGCTCCCCACGTAGAATTGCCTTAATATTAAAGCTAAAGAAAGCTTTCATGAAAGTGAAAACAGATATCAAATAAAATATTAGAAATTGCGCTAACTTGTAAAATTATAGCAGATTTTCATGTTTTAACCAATGGGATGGATGGATTATACARTGCACAATTAGCACCTTCTTGCATTCCTTTGCCGTTTGCTTCCCTAGTTCTTACTCGGGGCATTACTTAACAACTATATTATATTTAAAAATAAACAAAGAAAAAAAAGTGCTCAAGACGAGATTCGAACCCGCGATCCTCTGTTCGACGCCGCTGTTCGAGTATCATCTTGTTTCTAAAATTTAACAAACGCGGCTCGTAAATATTAAGAAATGGCCCGAGTAAGAACTATAGAAGCAAACGGCAAAATAAATTTTCCAGTTACCGTGAAATATAATCAATTCAAATATCATTAATAAGTCTGTATTTAGTGACTAATAGTGACTAATAGATTACTGTGAACCAGATATTYACTWTAAGTCAGTAAATACAGACTAAAAATGTCTGTAATAGATCAGTAAATATGTAAACACTTTCTTCTACCAGATATCGATGAATGCGCAAGCAGTCCTTGCAAAAATCAAGCTAAGTGCGTGGATATGGTCAATGGCTATGTCTGTAACTGTACGCTTGGATTCGAGGGGACCCATTGTGAGACAAGTAAGGCTTACCAGCAGCGAATCTAAGTGGGTGTCCATAGAGACACCGTACCCCCTAACACCACAATAACCCCTAATTTATCTAAGTAATTAGGGGCTGGACACAAGCTAATTCAGTTTATGAGCAAGTGTTCTTATGAGAAGCACGCCCTGGTAAAATCCACTCTTATACTCATCACCACTGAACGTGTTTTTGGTCAATCACATTTTACTTATTTATTGAAAGATCAAAACACCTGTTTCTAACACATTGTTAGTCGTCTGCCTATAATGACAATCAAAAGTCTACTGAGTACATRTATTCTAGTGTATATTCATTTTATTCAGAAACGTATCATTTAATGATAATAAAATAGAAAAAAAAAAAGAAATAAAAAACTCCTCGGTAACCGCTTCAAAATTGCAAAAATTGTGCAAATGTATAAATGAGAGAGTACATCACAAAAGAGGTCTTGTCTCTGGCGGAAACGTAGAAACGTCCAAAGACGCAATTTATTCACTCATTGAATCAAAAGGGTTTTAATTCTTTGGCCCCCTTTTGTACTGTCCATTTTCAAATACATATCTTCTGTTTTTAAACTACTTATTCGTTTTAGACATCAACGAGTGCGCAAGTAGTCCATGTAAAAACGGAGGAACATGTAGTGATAAAGTAAATGGATACGATTGTCACTGTGTCGCAGGTTATGGAGGAAATGAATGCCAGACAGGTTAGCAATATGGAGTGTACCTAAAAGTCGACGGTCGACGGTAAGAAGTCGAGGGTGAGGGTAAAAAGTCGAGGTGAGGATGAAAAGTCGAGGGTCTTAGAAAAATYACCTTTCTTATATGTGGCGTACTCATAAATACGTTGCTTCTCGAAACAATAAGAGAACACAATTAGTACTTAGAAAAGGAAAACAAGAACWAGCAATTCAAGTCGATTTTTAACTTCTTTTAATTTTTTTTTCTTGATATGCAGTCGCCTCGTCTCGTTGATATATATTTTAACAAAATCGTAAAATATAACTTTTCAAATAGTTAAAAATAAAAAAATGACATCTGAATGATTTTAGTCTCATATTCATTCTGTGCAATAACAGWAACGAGACTGAATTTTAACYCAATCCTTTGATAAGTATTCAGGCATAAGCCTGTATCTATATGTGAACGTTACACTTATAATCACAACAAACAACGAAACTTGAGTGTTGAGATTCGTGGTATTTTCGTGTTTGTGTTTAAAAACATTTTCGAGTGATTCACATATTTTGTACTATATTATAACATATTAAGACCAAAATAAATCTATTGATGACAAGGCAAAGAAATTATTTTCCATTCACCATGAAGCGACAAGGTTCAAAAGAGGTCTCAATCTACAAGAGATACCGAAAACAGCGAATGAACCAACCACTATCTATGCCCGGAGAACCAAAATAAAAGCAAAACATTATTCTGAAGAACAGCTAAAGAATTCCTGGGAAGAAAAACCACTTCATGGAAAGTATCCAAAACGCCTTAATGATAATGATGTTGATCACCTTCAGACAAACAAATGGCTCAAAACCTCTGGATTAAAATCCCAAACTGAAGGCATATACTAAGGAGGACACTATCCATCAAGTAATACCCATCACAATTATGTATGGACTCCTTATGTTCAAGGGATGAACACGGACCTATATTTTATAAAACTTTGNCGATAGTGTACCGCACAGTTGGATTATTGAAACCTTGAAAATCTACAAATTCAACCAGACCCTAATAGACTTCCTTCAAATCAGCATGCAAAACTGGAACACTACCATGCATCTTAGTAATGAAGGAGATGAAATCATCACAGACAAAATTAAAATAAAAAGAGGAATATTCCAAGGAGACTCTCTTTCACCTTTATTATTCTGTGTGGCGCTTATCCCATTAACATCTGAACTTAACTCTTCAGGCTTTGGCTACAATATAACTAAACAGAGCCCTAACATAAGCCACTTATTTTACATGGACGATCTAAAACTGTTTACGAAAACAGAACAGCAACTGAGTGGGGCCTTGCACGTAGTCAAGGAGTTTAGTGATGACATCCAAATGAAATTTGGTTTGAGTAAATGCGCCAAAGCTACTTTAAGACGCGGACGAATAATAAAGAGGGAGAACATAATGATTGATGTCGACAACGCAATAAAGAACCTGGAGCAAGAACACACCTATAAATACCTAGGAGTCGAAGAGAGTGAAGGGATTCAACACAGTAAAATGAAAGAAAAAATCAGGAAAGAGTATTACAGAAGGGTGAAAATGGTTTTGAAAAGTGAGCTTCACGCAAAGAACAAGATCGAATCAATAAATAGCATTGCGGTGCCTGTAGTGCAGTACAGCTTTGGGATCATTGATTGGAAAGTAAGCGAGATTGTAAAGCTCGACAGAMAAACCCGAAAACTCCTAACTATGCATAAAATGCTCCATCCAAGATCAGATGTAGACAGGCTGTACGTACAACGAAAGGAAGGCGGGAGAGGACTGACTCAACTAGAAGCGWCTTTTRAAACATCAATGGTCGGCTTAGAYTGTTACATTTCACTAAAGCAWGAGACAARKCTAAATCTAGTTAAAAGTCATGACAGTTACAAAGCCAAGTATTCTATCACAAAAACGGCCACGAAAGTGAAACAAGAGTATGATCTAGCTGATRAAGTATGTAAAGAAGGAACACCATCTGAAAATGCCAAAGCTCTTAAGACAAAATTGAAAGAAAAGATCCATCAAAGACGGAAGGAACAGTGGGAAGGGAAACCATTGCACGGGCAATATCGAATAAACGTGCAGAAGCCCTATGTTGATCAAGCAGCTACCAACTTATGGTTAACAGMAGGCGACTTAAAAGGTGAGACTGAAGGTTTCATCATTGCTGCACAAGACCAATCGCTAATGACACGCAACTATCAACATTGCGTCCTTAAAGACAACACCACTGATGGTCTCTGCAGACTATGCCACAGCAAAACGGAATCTATCGATCATCTTCTTACCGGCTGTGAGATTCTTGCACCAACACAGCCTCTTACTTACACTGGGTTATCTGCAAAGATCACGAAGTTCAGGTGACAGACAAGTGGTACCAGCACGATCCACCAAAGGTTGTAATCAAAGATCACAAGACCATCAATAATAACAGATAGGGCAATTCATGCGAACAGGCCAAACATAGTGGTTAAGGACAGCATAAATAACACGTGCCAACTGATTGATATGTCAACACCATCAGATCGAAACATCTGCCTTAAACACCACGAAAAGAAAAGCAAGTATAAAGACCTTGAAATTGAAATTAGAAGAATGTGGGGTACCAATACGGAAATTATACCAGTCATTGTAGGGGCCCTAGGAACGATAAAAAACGGAACAACAGAAAATCTGTGAAAAAAATATCAATCAACATTCAGATAAAAACATTGCAGAAGATTGTACTGTTAAGCTCATCCCACATGATGAGAAATATTGGACTATAGACAATTTATATTTCATTTATAATTGTATTGAGAAAGCCTAAGGAATAAGGTTTATTCCTGGCGAAACCTGTAAGCACCCAGTCTTATTCTGTGAAATAAAAAATAATAATAATAATAATTTTTATTTTTTAATATGATAATAATCTTTATCATATAATAAATTCTCCAATAGTAAAATATTTTACAATCTTATAAAAAAATATCGAATAATAATGATTACAATAAAATTTATAACAATTTTGTATAAAAGTTCAAATATTACATAATACACTAACCACTTCACAATGTTAAAAATTGAGAATAATAATTACAAGAGAATAAAAAAAAGAGAAAAAAAAATGTTCTTAAATAAATATGTTAATCAGGCAAATTGTGATTGCTCAAGTTCAAGATCTCTCTGTTCAATGCAGTTCAAAACCGTTCGCTTTGTAGTTCTAGTGCCACGTAAACATAAGAGGGCGGATCTCAGGAGAGCAAAGGATACTTTCGTTCGTATCCAGGTCACTGTAGTGCTATATGGCTCTCCTTTCTTTATCTAGCCTGCTGTGAAATCGCTGGCATTCTTCAGACACCCTTGTAAACACCAAGGGGTGAAGCTTGCTTGTTCAACCTCCAATACACGACTGGCGTAGTCTCTCTTCTTCTGGCTTTCGTGTTGTTGGTAGGCTTGTTTGATTGTTAGGTTCTTGTAGGAYTCTGCGTTAGGGTGAAATACCCTCACGTTAAAAAAGGCAGAGCTTTGTCTATCCCAAAAACCTCGGGCACGAACATCCAACCGTGCATCCGGGGCTCTGTTTGTTCCACTTGCCAGAACTTTGCCAGAAATCTCCTGGAGACACTCATTGTGTCTTTGAATAACGAATCCTCCTCGTCTACATACCATGGCATGATTAACATTATATAGATCCCCACACGCACAAGTAGAYGGTAGGTCCGTAATGTGCCAGTCATATCGTAAATGAATAGTCTCCTTCATTGTTACCTGCGCCATCTTGAAAGGTAGCCCTGCCTTTGCATCGAAGCGAGACAACCGTTGAGTGTGCAATGATACCTTCTTTCAAACCTTCTTTCACACCTACAGACAATTATTCACAGGTTTTTATCATTGCACGCTCAACGGTTGTCTCGCTTCGATGTAAAGGCACGGCTACCTTTCAAGATGGCGCAGGTAACCGTGAACGAGACTATTGCATCCTTGAACTCTCTCTTGTTAAGTGTAAAGTTCATTTCCTTCAGTGGAAGAACTGTGAGCCAGCTGGATGCTCCCTTTTCTGTAGCAAGATCCGCAGCTTTCCTTGTGTTATTAGGGAGGTATCTCTTTACTACTTCGTGCAACGCTTGAAGCTGAATGTCCTTTTCCTTTCGGTTGAGCTGTTGCAGCGCTCGTACCTCTCAAGAGATAAAAATAATAAAAATRAACAATGTAACACTGAACAGGCTCAAAGGTGTTCAATCAATGTTCTTTGRAAAAAGGTAAGTCTTTAGTTTGGATTTAAAAATGTCAAGTGAAGCAGCCCCAGAGATATCCAAAGGGAGAGCATTCCACAATTTAGGCCCGGCCACAGAGAAGGCCCTGTCGCCGTAACTTTTCAGGTTTGTTCAGGGTACTGCCAGGAATCCTTTACCCGAAGACCGCAGGCTGCGGGAGGTGGTGTAGTCTTTTKCAAGATTACATAGATACTGTGGTGCCATTTCGTTCTTAATCTTGTACATCAGTAGAAGTATTCTATATTGTATTCTTGAACGTATAGGTAACCAATGCAGACGCTTGAGGATGTCCAAAGTGTGTTCCTCTCTTTTGGGTCTTGTAACAATTCTGGCCGCAGCATTTAWAACGCGTTCGAATTTTTTGAGGTCAGTCTCAGGCAAACCATAGAACAAGCTGTAACACTGGTCGAGTCTTGTGGTGACAAAAGCATGAACAAGCCCCTCTGTTTGGGATTGATTCATATAGTTCCTTATCTTGCTGATGTTGCTATCTAAGTGCCAAAAAAAGAAGCTTTGCAGCAGTTGTTGATTTGTTGCTTGAAATAAAGAGATGAATCAAACAACACTCCTAGGTTACGTGTCTCAGGTTTAGGTTTAACGATTGAATCCCCAATGTGGATATCAGGTGAGACGGATACAGATCGCGAGAACTTTGAGTGAATGTGTCTGACTGCAGTTTTTCCATCATCTAAGGTGAGTCTGTTATTATCACACYATGTCTAGATATCATTCAGACAGCTTTCAAGTTTTCGGCTTTTTCTTTATAATGGTGTAGAGCTTAGTGTCATCTGCGTACATCATGGCAGAAATGCCATGGGAAGCAAAAATTTCCTCCAGCGGGGAGACGTAGAGACAGAAGAGAACARGTCCAAGGACAGAACGCTGGGGTACCCCAGAATCCAGGTCATAAGGAGCTGATAAGTTACTACCAATGCTAACCCGTTGCGTCCAATTGTCAAAGTATGAGCGGAACAACGGGATAACAGTGCCAGAGATACCAAAACGCTGTTCGAAGACGTTGAAGAAGAATACTGTAATCGATCGTATCAAAGGCTGAAGAAAAGTCTAGAAGTGCCACGAGTGCCTCATTACCATCACCTACAGCTCTAAGAAGATCGTTGTGTACCCGGAGGAGTGCTGTCTCAGTACTTTGGTAGCGACGATAGGCTKATATGAAGCTTAGGGTAAAGATTGTTCTGATGAGGATGGGACAGCAACTGAGGAAGTATTTATATATATTATTTGAACATAGAGCCGAATGAATGAATGAACGGCGAAGGAGACTGCCCGGATAGTACTAAATACGTAACTATGTCTAAACGTTTTCTATCCGAAGTATATTCGTCAGCGTTTTTATAAAAATTAAACTAGATTTTACAACCACCCGGCTTAATCAATAGAATGAAAGTTTTCATAGAAGCTGTAATTTCGATTACCACAAGATAAATTGAAAAACCAGATAAACAAAAACAGTAACAAGCTATGTTACAATTTGAAAATGGAAATGCAACAGCATTTAATCACCCTATAATTCATCAGCAAGTTCTTCAATTTGATTCAATTTTGCATTCGAACACACAAAAGAAGTCCGCATTTCAATAAAAAAAATCAACCGAGTGTGCCATCATATATATGAAGCAGCCTAATCTTTGAGGGTACTTATTTTATGTTAAATATGTGCTACGTCAAAATGTTTCGTCAAGATGACTTTTTTTGAAGTCCGGGATCAACATGTAATGATTTTGAGGTAAAATATGGATGTCTTGGTTTGACAAATGGCATTTCACAATGATGGTATTTATTCTGATCCGCCGAGATGTGCAATCTTCCTTCTTTTATGTAAACAAATCATTCTCTCCATTTGCATTCCTGAACTTGTTTACGAGTTTGTTAAAATATATATCTACGAGACGAGGCGACTGCATGTCAAGAAAATAAAGAAAATTAAAAGAAGTTGAAAATCGACTTGAATTGCTAGTTGTTGTCTTACTTTTCTAAACTACTTATTGTGTTCTCTTATTGTTTCGAGAAGCAACGTATTTCTGAGTACGCCACATATAAGAAAGGTGATTTTTCTAAGACCTCGACTTTTCATCCTCACCTCGACTTTTTACCCTCACCCTCGAATTCTTACCCTCGACACTTTAAACATGCTCTACAATTTAGATAAAAACCGATATAATTTGTGTGTGGGTCTTAGACAGGGTAATATTTTCATAAGAACCGTAGGAATAGTAGAAATACCGTTTCACTGTAGAAGGTGTAATCAAAAACGTCTTATTGTCTCTGATGGATGTCAGTTTAATTGCAGTTTTGATGGTTGCAGCGTAGATAGCGATTCCGTATTTTTCCGATTTGTCTTGAACAGGAAATGGATTTTCACTTTCTAGTGTCTTAAACAGGATCAGGGTTTTAGACCGCTGGCGGCACGTACCTATCCAAAACGGGATCCARTACCCCCTCGACCCTCGACTTTAGGTACACTCAGCAATATGCCTCCATGGAGTTTCCGAAAACACAGGAGAACACAACTTTAGAGAACAGAGAACATTAGTCCGGGTTCATTTTTACATGAACCAATGTGATTGACAAGATGCAAACAGAAAACYTGCAATAACAGCCATTCTAAGTGCCTAAAATCTTATTCACGCACTCCCGTTATAATATGTGTTAATATGTGTTAATATTTTCACTAGCGAAAATAACACATTCGAGGTTTCGCTATATAGTGGACCTACGAAAAAAAGGTATTTTACGACATAATTTCCTTTTTTTGTCATATGTAATTATATGATAAACAGAATATATTACATGATCGCTTGGAGATACGAATTTTATCTTCTCGTGTTGAAGATCTTTTCAACACTCGAAAATAATATCCGTATCTCCGCGTGCCCATGTAATATCCTCTATTTAGAATTACACTATTTATGTAAAGAATATTTTCACTAGTGAAAATATCAATTTTACGAAATGGAGAAATATRGGTATTTCATAGATAATTATATGATAAATATATTTATTTAGTTTCGTGACATTTTCCTGAGAACAAAATTCACTTATAGTGAGTCCTGGTTAAATGTTTGCCCTCAAATTCCCTCGTGTCAAATTCAAATTCCTATGTGTCGTTTTATACATCTGTTACAATTGTACGCTTTCTCCCGTTTTTCAGATATTGATGATTGTGCGAATAGAGAATGCCAAAATGGAGGAACGTGTAACGATCAAGTCAATGGMTACAGCTGCACATGTGTCTCAGGTTTCTCAGGAGTAAACTGTGAGACAAGTATGTATAGTTTGTATATATTATATGTACTTGAGATTTCTGTAGCAGTCGACGGTTCCATGTCTCACAGACAATTTTTTCTGAACAGAAAAACAACTCCATTAAAAGTAAAACAATAACATTAAAAAATAAAAATAACTAAAATCAAAGGATTGTCGCTTAGCCCAAAATCTTATGCCAGTTTCAAAAATGCATGCTGTAACTGTACATTGTAGAACAACATACGTGTTGAATGTAAAATGGTTTTGTAAAAGCCTCTATTTCACTACTGTCGGTTTACAGCACTCAATATACACAGTATACAGCTATGACTAGCTATTTTAGAAAACGTTAAATACTGCAAAGTGAGTTTTAAGACCGCAATGCATTGTTGCATTTATATTCTATATTTACTGCGTTACAAAATTGCAATTTTTAAGGTTACTGTAAACCTTCGCGATTGTGACATCATATCTTGGCATCGTTAAGTCAAACCTCTGTATTTTATACGTCATTTTGAAGCTTAATAATTAACCTAAGCGTCGATTGTGTTTGTTTGCAATAACAATTGATAGATTATTTATTACAAATTAAAAAAAAATCAAAAATCGGGTGCCAATTTTTAAGAACTTGAAAAAATGTTAATTTTTTCATCGTAATTAGTACGTGGTGTCCGTCAATACATACCAAAGATCAAAAACGTGTCAGCTTTTTTTGATATTTTTCTTATTTGCAGAGCTATCTTCATTTGAATTTGAAAGTGCAAAGTTTTGACATCGAATTTGATATTTGACACAATAAGTTTAAAACAAAAAAAAAAACAATCGAAAAACGCCGACACGGTTTTTACCTGACTGTGCGTTAAACGATATCGCACGTAAAAAGCGTGGGTTTACAACAAAATTTTCGCAAGTTGACTTCTCAAACACAAAATCGTGACTTCAGCTAAATAGATATCAATAAGAAATCTATTAAACATTTTGCCGAGCTGCGCCAGAAAATAACAAGAACGATACAACGAACGAGCTTTATTCGTGAACACTACAAAAATGGCGGACACGATAACCACCGAAAAAACAGTCAGGCGTCACTCACGTGAGCGCGCGCATAAAACTAAACTACAGTCCGCAGGTAGCAACCTGCTGGCGCTGACCTCACAGACTTCTTGCTCTGTCAAAGTGCTTTAATATGATTTATAAATTTTTTGATATATAACGCGCGCTCTGATTGACTGACGACCGTGTTTATATCAGAGGACAGAGACACTGCTTACCGGCTCGAAAAATTTTATAAAAGAAATATAAAACGGCCGCTTGTGTCTCTGTCTTCTGATATAAACACGATGGGAGTTGAAAAACACTCGAGAAGGCAAGAGAAACACTCGCTACGCTCGTGTTCCTAAGCTTACTTCTCTCGTGTTTTTCGCGCGCCGTTTTATATTTCTTAAATACAATATGTTACAGCGTTTTCAGTATTCAAAAGTTTCTGAGTGAATCCATACTAATTCTGATTTGCTGATATATTTTGTCGCAAAAAGAAGAACATCCATCTACTAGCTGCAACAGACTACCTTGTTATGAAGTTCTGTAAGAATGTAGACTGCGTTACATCCGGTTTTATTAAAAATGCAGCTCAGAAACCTTGTTGACGATAGTTACGTTTACTGTATATTTYTTTTCRTTGTTTCTCATGTGCGTTTATTRATTTCCAGATCTCAACTTCTGCGCAGGAGACCCATGTTTAAATGGCGGAACATGCGTAAATGAACCAACGAAATACAAATGTGACTGTGTTCAGCCATATCATGGCAAAAAATGTGAGCTGGAACCAAAACGTTGAAAACGAAGTTAGTGCAGTATTATYAATACTTTTTGAGTCTTCTGTGCAAAATTGATTTATTTTAACCGAGCTTTCGGCTTAAGCAGCCATTTTCAAGGTTGTAGTACACGTGATKATCTAATCTACGCAGCTAACAGAAAGCGCTCGAGGAAACTGTATAATACGCGCGCGCTCTGTTTAATACAAATAAAAGATAAAAAATATTATTAGGGCAAATGTAACAAATGAGAAATTAAATGGTTTTAAGTAATTGGATGTAGCTATCGGGCAGAGTTCTTCCAGTGTCCCTATTTGATATGATGTTGATCTTATTTGYTTTTGCTATTAATACTGCTTACATCCACCTTGCATCGCTTCTTAAGACGGAGGTGTCCTTCCAGTTGATGTTGTGACCAAGGCGATTGGCATGCTCTGACAGTGCAGACTTGTCTGTCTGGCCGAGTCTAAAGGCCACACCTCTCATGCTCTGAGACTCTAGTCTTCAGAGATCTCTTGGTCTCGCCAATGTAGACAGCAGAACAGTCAGCGCGTGGTATTTGATAAATGACACCGGTTTTATTGTAGTCGTCCAATCTGTCCTTAGGCTTTGAAATCATGCTTTTGATAGTTTTTATTGGTTTCACTGCTATCATAACGTTGTGGTCTTGAAGAATCCTTTTGACCCGTTCTGTGATGTTCTTAACGTATGGTAAGACTGCAAAACCCTTCTTAGCATTTGGTTATTCTTGTTGTTTTGTATCATTGTTTATGTTATGCTTATATTTATAGGCCTACTGCGGTTCCAAAAGCCGCCTTAAGCCGCTGCAGMTAAGGGCAGCTTAAGTCGCCTTAAGAGTTTTTTGGGTGAAATTGGGTCAGTGGGGCCGGGTCAGTGGCGTCCTTAGGCGGCTTAAGACAACTTTCACGATCTGCTATACCAATGCAGACCAAGCGAACTATCATGACACAGGAAGTGGTGAGAGTACTACTTAGTTGCAATTGCTCTTTACCATGGGGACAAATAGTTACACATGTAAACCGAATGGTGATGCGAATGCAGTACTCAGGTTATAACAAAGAGTTCAGATACGAGTGGTAAAATCTGCATTGAACGCGTATAGAAAGATCCTTGATTTAGAACAACAAGGCATGAGACCGATCTACCGACCCAAAGAATGGAAGAGAACGAAAAGGATAAAAGAGAAAAGAAAGCATCTTGATACAGGAAGGGAGGATACTCAAGTGTCATCTTTATACCAGCAACACCCGAGTCGGAACTGAAGAAAGCACTAGAACGAGACGTTAGAAGATCTGATTTAATGATCAAGATTGTGGAAAAGGCAGAAGTGAGCTTAAAGAAGATGATGCCAAGGTCTAATCCTTTCAAAGAAAAGCATTGTGTGGAAGAAGATTGTTTGTTTTGTAGAACTGGGGGCGTAGGACCATGCAGAACGCAGAACGTGACATATGAAATTGAATGTCAATCATGTGGTAAGAAGTACATTGGARWAACGGCGAGAAACGCATATACGAGAGGCAGAGAACACTTAAAAAGCATGGATTCAAACGGTAAAGATAAGTCTGTGCTTCGCAAACACTGCGAAACCGAACACCAGGACGTAATCCAAGACTTTAAAATGAGTGTAATTGGAGCGTTTCAGAAGGATATTATGCTAAGTCAAATRAGCGAGTCAGTAAAGATCAGGAGAAGAAGGAGTCGGTTATGAATACTAAGAATGAATGGAACACTGGAGTCGTGCCTAGATTGAGCATTGAACAATCATGACTTTATTAATTATTGATATTTATTAATTTTTATCAATTAATTTTCATTATTGTGAAGTCTTGTAACTCTATAAGTGTAAAGCGYACAACATTTGAAAAACAAAATCAACCAATTTGTTAACTTACAAAATACGGACTGAAAAGGCTTAATAAAACGAAACTGGTATCCGTAAAATTCCTGGTTTAATTAAATGCTTGTGAAAGACAGAAGAACAAAAGTTAAACTTCAGATACTTACACAACATGAGATCAAATAAAATAACACAAACGAAAAKAAATAGAGAGTATGTTTATTCAATCGTAAGGTTGAAAGCCATTTCAAACACCGCGAAAGCAAGCCGGATGTTGTGAACAACCAATGTGTTATTTATCATTTTAAATGTGGTCTATGTGATATGGACTACATTGGTTTTACAACGAGGCACTAACATCAGCGCATAGATGAACATAAGTCTCCATCATCGTCGGTYGGACGTCACATGCGGGACCAACACGACCAGGACAAGCCTGATATCAAAGAACATTTCAAAGTCATCAAGAAATGTAAATCTAAATTTGACTGTCTCGTTCACGAGATGCTTTACATACGCTAGCGGGGGGAGGGGGGGGGGGGGGGGGGTACTCCCATATGTTTGCTATAAGGGGACGTGCCGCTGGCCAGGGTATGGTTTTTGGCTTTGCTGTCTTAAACAGGGTATACATTTCACCCGAAATTGTCTTAAACAGGCTCTACAATTTAGATAAAAGACCGAGATAATTTTTTTGTGTGTCTTGGACAGGGTAATATTTTCGTAAGAAATACCGTAGAAATGAGTAGAAATAACGTTTCACTGTAACAGGATTAACGTGTTGTCAGTATAAGTACAGTTTTGGTGGTTGCGGCGTAGATACCGATTCCTTATTTTTCCGATTTGTCTTTAACAGGGTATGGATTTTTACTTTCTAGTGTCTTAAAGAGGGTCAGGCTTTTAGACCGCTGGCGGCACGTACCTATCCAAAACGGTGTCGAGTACCCCCCCCCCCCCCCCCCCCCTACCGGGGAATGGAGTCAGGATGACTCCGAAACGTCGGACACTTACGTTAATTTTTATTCTAAATCATTTTAGAGGATGTCAAATAACTGTTATCCCTCCTTCGACGCACAGAAAACACCATCGCGAGTCAAAAGAACGATACTCACACAAGAAGTGCTCAGAGTTATGCTGAATTGTAACCCCTTGGGAAGACATTGCCACACAAGTTAATGGTATGGTGGCAAGAATGCAATACTCTGGGTATGGACAGTCTTTTAGATATGATGTTCTTAAGTCAGTCATGAGTGCATATTTAAGAAATATAAAACGGCGCGCGTGTCTCTGTCCTCTGATATAAACACGGTGGGAGTTCGAAAATCACGAGAGAAGCAAGCTTAGGAACACGGGCGTAGCGAGTATTTCTCTTGCTGCTCGAGTGTTTTTCAACTCACAAGACACAAGACACAAGCGACCGTTTTATATTTCTTTTATAAAATTTTTCGAGCGAAAAGAAAATTTTGCCGGTAAGCCGTGCCTCTGTCCTCTGATATAAACACGATCGTCAGCCAATCAGAGCGCGAGTTATATATCAAAAATTTGATAAAGGAAGATACTGCTATTATACAAGAATGGTGTACGGCCAATGTACAGACCGAAAGAGTGGAGGAAAAAGGAACGGTATGAAGCGAAGAGAGGCAAGAAAGTTAACTAGTATAAGAAAGGTGATTACACTAGTGCAATTTTTGTGCCAGCCACACCTGACTCTCGATTGAGAAAGATGCTAGAGAACGATATCAGGAACCCTAACGCCAAAAAATCAAGGTTGTGGAGAAAGTGCAGACCACAGCGTGAAACGTGTTCTACAGAGATCCAACCCCTTTAAGAAAAARGTATGCACGAGAGAGGATTGTGTTATGTGTAAGGCGGATCAGTCTGGTCGCTGCCAAACACAAGGAGTCACATATGAGATTGCGTGTGCAGGCTGTCAATGCAAGTACATAGGGGAAACATCAAGAAGCGCATACACACGAGGGAAGGAACATTTACTAAGAGACCTGGAGTCATCGAATGAGAGGTCAGTTTTAGTGTTGTTAATTTGTTAACATAAGTTAATGTTTAACTTCGAAGGTAGGGTGAGGGCACGTGCGTACTATTACGTATCATTCGGTTCCGTTCGTCGAGCGCTAAACATCTAATTAACGACTAGCTTCTTTCGTTTCTCAAACATGGTAAAACCAAAACTTTGTCCTGGGTGCCAGTTACCTAAGGCCGAACACTCATTCGGTCCAACAGGCAAAGCATGCACTGGACCGGAGGAGTATACTGAATCAGCTACAGAGAAGAGCGAAATTGAATCGACTCAAAAACTGACAACAACACTCTTGGAGGCAGTCCGAAACCTATCCGCCCAGCCGCAATCGGTTAAACTGGAACAGGATGCCATGAAGCTACACCTCGGAGGAGGAAAGTTTGGACAGCAGACCGACGGCGACAACCAATCGCATGAAAACAATGATTGTGCCGTTAGCACATTGCCAAAGAAATTCACAACAACCATAAACAGCGGTGAGTACGTTGACTTTGGTGAAGTGCTGGCCGCTTTGACCCCACGCTTAACAAACGAAAACGAAGGAATGCTCCTCTCCACATCACCTGAAGGGAACATTCATGTAGTTAAGAGCGCGCGAAAAAGACTAATCGATTCCTTCGAGGCATGGCTACAAGTATGGAACCATTACGAAATGGTTTAAAGACTCATTGCGAAGAAAAAACACTCAGGAGTGGCTCAAGACTTTAAGATGAGGGTTACTGACGTTGTAATAATAACGAATCGTAGAGTTCCGGAGGCTTTAATAACTCAGAAATAACCATACTGGTACATGTTGCATGCTTTCTACACACGCGGTTCACACACACACATTTACACACGCATGCGCGTAACATGTGATTACATAATCATGACAGACGTGTTTAATGGGGATGCAACCTTGAGGCAGATAACAGAGGCGGTTCAAATAAGGACATGTGGAGATAAAACCATGAATAATAAAAACGAGTGGAACAATGTAAAAATTCCACGTGCCAACATTTTATTMTTCACAGTAATTTTATAGCTCGCGCTACATAGTTTACGCGCGCTGTTTGTAATTTCAAATGTATATACAACAGTTGTAGAGGAATTGACAAGGTCTAGTAAAGACGAAACTAGTTTTCCTCAAACAAATCTTGTGATTTCTGTGCGTCGAAGGAGGGATAACAGTTATTTGACATCCTCTAAAATGAAGAAATTTGTATTAAATTAAGAGACAAGCTGCAATGTGGGAACACACACCGAGTAACCACTAGTTCATGTCTAAAACACACAGAAGGACTCAGCCCGATTTTCGCTTGTTTGTCAGTGTGACGATATGTGTTTTTTAGATTTCAATTGTTTTGCTGGATTCCAGATTCTGGATTCCAAATATTTGGATTCCGGATTCCAGGATAAAGATTTCGGATTCCAAAGTTGCATTTTTGCTGGATTCCGGATTCTCTTACACGGGGCGACCAATTACTTAAAACCATTTAATTTCTAATTTGTTACATTTGCCCTAATAATATTTTTTATCTTTTATTTGTAAACAGAGCGCGCGCGTATTGTACAGTTTCCTCGAGCGCTTTCTGTTAGCTGCGTAGATTAGATCATCACGTGTACTACAACCTTGAAAAATGGCTGCTTAAGCCGAAAGCTCGGTTAAAATAAATCAATTTTGCACAGAAGAATCAACAAGTATTAATAATGATATGCCTGTGTATAACGAAATTCTTAAGTGCAGTGTGCTTGAATTTTCTGATGTTAATGACAAAGTTGGTAGATCACTATCTTATTATTGGCCTATATTACATGTGACATCATTGTGCACGTGCAATCAAGCATCTTTTCAAGTCATTTAGTGAAAGTTCAGGTTGATGAGCCGTATACTAGTATATAATGAAGCTGCTGCAATGGGTTCAAAAGTTCTACCTCGTGCAACGCTACGCGCAACAATAATGGTTGCCAGACAACCCCTGCAACACTGTGTAATTTTTCAGAAACTTGCGTCATATGATCATTATGCGAGGGAAGTTGCTGAAGGAGCTGCACAGTGTAAGAGCAGCTTGTAATGAGCACCGATGCCAAACGCTTTTAATTTAGCGATACAAGGGCATTATTTTTTTGCAAACTTTCATGAAAATTTTACACGTTTACAACTGCATGACATCTTCAAAATTTCAAAGGTGGCTTGAATTTTGTTCTCCGGTTCTTTTTGACCCGACAAACGAAAGAAAAAGTGATGTGTTGGACAGCAGAATTTGAGTTATTTCTTAGACTTGCTCTAAGTCTCTTTTGCTTGTTTTCTTTTTTCTCGGGCGACGTCGAAATTTCCCGAAGGAACATTATTCCGAATAAGAGTTGCCGAGGCCGACGGTGGGAGAAGCCAGAGAGACTTGGAAAAACTTTTCACCTCATCAATATTAAAAAGCTCTGGCGGAGCAGATCTGGTTCTTTCTTAAAATATCAGAGGCAAGAGTTTGTTGGTTGGCTAATGAATCATGTATGACGTGAAGGACGACAGCTTGCATCTTCCTTAAAAAAATATCTTAAAAAAGTGGCTCGTTATCCGTGAAGCCAAAATTTAATGAATATTGATGAGGTGAAGAGTTTTACAATCTCTCACAGTCGCGTCGGATGCGTAACTTCTTGCAATGTTCCTTCGTTATCTMTCGACAGTAAACAGCTAGAGAGACTTGGAGCAAGTCTAATGATCTCTTAAATGTAAATAATATGTATGACGATTTTGATTGTTGTAGTGAACTGTAGTCTCAGATGTGACAGACCCTACTATAACAGGAGCCCATTACTAAGAGGGTCCATGCCCTAATACAGGGGTGTCACAGCCTTTTCAGAGACGTGGCTATTTTTTAGATTTCTTTTTGACCAATGAGAGGTGACTTCCTGTTGGTCGTGTGCGCGGCAAAATCCGCGGCAGAAATCGGGCATGGGAAAAAGGAATAACTGAAACCTATAATTTTGTTAAAACGCTTGGTGAAATAAAAAGACAACGGTAGTGTTTTATCCTTTTAGTGTCCCATCCTGAATTGACATTCATCATTGTTATATCCACGGTTCCATGCTTTTTCGTAAATTTTCGGCTATTTAACTATTGATATCAAGTTTTCAGAATGCAATTTTAATMTAAAATATCACAATATTAACCAGAGCGTTTTAGAAGTAAATTCCTTCAAAGCGTCAGCGTTACTGCCGAGTTTGCTCACACAGTTTCCGTTCGTCGCTCTCGAYTTTGACTCCCCCAGACGACTCGACAGCTCTCGAAGTCTTTTTTAAAAAATCGAAAAATCCTAGAGATATTAGAGAATGACAGTAAGAGTAAAAGGGAAATTTTCTGTAACAASGAAGCGGCTCCGCGCGCGTACCCAACCGGAAGTGACTTTTTATTGGTCAAAAAGAAATCTAAAAAAAGTCTCTGAAAACGCTGTGCCCAAACCTAATGGACATCATGGACGCTCCTTGAAATGGGCTACTGATTATAGTTAATACCATCGCCTAAGTATAGACTACAAATTTGAGTAAAACAAGATATTAGATATAGGTCTAATATGAATAACAACTTATAGAATACTGACTGCACATCAGTCTAGATCAATCGTATTAGAAAGTACGTATCGCTTAACTAATGAACTATGAATGAGGAAAGCGTAGTCTGAAATTTATAGCAACACGTATAAGAGGTAATAAAAGGTTGATAAACCATTTCAACGTGTCCTTAGAGATTTAATTTACAGCGTTTTGCAAACATCCTGTGAATTACAAAATATCTTTATATACACTATGTAAATATTGGGTAAATTGTGGATAATTTTCAATAACAAAGAGAAAAGTTAAAATTCCTCCTTGAAGTAGAAATTGCTATGTGATTCAGATAACGATTGGGTTTAATACTAACCATTAACCATTCGAGTGTTTTTCTTAACCCTAGAAACAAAGTGTGATAGCCACAATAACATAAACAAAGAAAAAATWTGACAAATATGGAGTAATAAAGTGTTGTATGCTAAAATGTGTTTCATGGGTTAATTAAAACCACAAAACGTTACTGTTATGCAATTTACAATATATGTATAGTTATGGTAGAATTTTTGCAAAACTGTAATTATACGTTAGGGTATGTACTTTTAGGATCAGCCTCATTTCAAGCCTATTTCCAAGGAGGTACTAGAGCTTTCTCCGTCCGCCATTTTGAAAAAAAGGCGAGCAGACACGCCCTGGAAACAAGATTGCTTAAAGATAAAAAAAAAAATGTGATCGTCGTTTCATACTATGAGCCTCACTTTTTGAAGCAACTGTGAAAGAAAAGCGAGCAAAATAATGTACACAGCATGTTTTGCCGTCTGAGTATGCAAAAACTATGGCATTTGCGTTTGTGATCATGCTGTACTATTTATCGCTGACTTTTCCCAATTCAATTTTGTATTGCGATAATATAGAGCGATAATATAGATCGTTTACTGTGCCGTGTGCTGTCCGGTCTGTGATACGTTCCGCTGCAAGTCATACGAAATTACGAAGTCAACGAGTCTCATTGATGCAACCATAGGGCGAACACCGGAAGTCAAAATAGGCCCTTTTCTTTCTCATTGGAATATGGGTCGCATTTCTGGGTAAAACTGTTAAAATACTCAATATGACAATAGTCTCCTTCACGGTTACCTGCGCCATCTTGAAAGGTAGCCGTGCCTTTGCATCGAAGCGAGACAACCGTTGAGCGTGCAATGATAGAAACCTTCTTTCACACCTACAGACAACTATTCACAGGTTTCTATCATTGCACGCTCAACGGTTGTCTCGCTTCGAGGCAAAGGCACGGTTTCCTTTCAAGATGGCGAAGGTAACCGTGAAGGAGACTATTGAAAACTATAAATAAGAAAGTCGTCACTGTGATTCGCGATGTTTCTAGCCGAAGGTTCGCTCCGATATTTTGACCATTTTGAATTTGTCATTACTTGGGCTTCTTGTGGAAGACYACGTCTAAAAATGCAACTGGCCTGGACTTTTCTCCTCTGTCTCCTTCGTGAATATTTGGCTTCAAATTGGTAGCGCCTGCGTTGCAGATGGTCTGCAGTCTCAGAATGAAAACAAAATGGCTGACAGACGGCTGCAGAAACTTGTCTCGTTTTAAATGGTTCTAAAATGTAGCTAAAATGCTCTAAAGAACTGAAAATCCTAAAAAAATCAACTGATTACCATCCAAACGACATGGAATGAGGTATATAATTCAAGGTTGTCGGATGATTCGTGCAGAAATGACTGGGCATTTTCTACCGCCGACTCGAAGAGCACTACTTCTTCGTCACAACACTAGTGTTCGATGTGAATCACAAAATCTTCAAAAATAAGAAATCACATGGATATTTAAGGTTTATACTTTGACAGAAGAATAATCATTCGATGGACATATCAAACCTCATCTGAAAAATATTGATGCCATTTTCTAAACTGACGATGTGTTTGAAGTTGAAAACTCACGCATGTGTGAGCTTACTGAACTCTGTAGACCTCTGTATACAAAATCTATATTGTGTATGAAGCATTTTAATTCTTTATTAAAATTTGTTTTGATGGTTGTTTAACGATCCAAAAACATGAACTGCCATTAAGAGGTATACCTGTTTGATGATGGCACAGTGACCAGATATAAAAACACCAAATAAAAAGAACAGAAACACGAGATCTTACATGATTCAAACGATCAAAATATTCAAAGTTATACGATACTGACAAAACTGCAAAGACTGTACTGTTTAGATGACCTTCAGATATTTTGCATATTTTGAAGAATATAGACGCTCTTAGAGCGTAAAGTCGAGCTAGTTATTTTGGAAAACTGAGAAAAACATGATATCGAAAGAAGTTACTTGAGTTCAGTTCGGTAAAAAAATATGATGTAAATAAATATAACTTATATTAACTTACTGTCTTGACTTATTACAAACAAAGACTGTATCGTGAAAATGAAATACCATTGTCGCAGCTACAGGAAGCCCACGTAAGCGATCCATGATCGTCTAGTTGTATAAAATTGATAAACAAAAGATATGCGTAAGCAATGCCATGAAACTTTGTTAAGGTAATATTTCACTGGATAACTTGAGTAGCAACGTTTCGAATAAAACTTGAATTGCATGCAGGGGAAAAGACAAAGTCAACGCCGCCGCGGTGGTCATCACAATTTATTGGTTTACTTAAGTTCCATGCGATTCGCCAAGGGATGTTGCGCGAAAATATGCCGACATTTTTTGTTTAAATCGGTAACTCCTTAGTCTCAGCCAGAGAACAACAACATCTAATCGAACTCTTTAAGCCGCCAGTTTCAGTCAACTATTTCTATTGTGCATAATGGATAACTACGCAAATAAATAAATGAATGTTACCATACAAATATTTTTAATAAACAGTTCTATAAGTTATAAGTTATCTAAGTTGATACGCCATGGTCCATTGGTCCTGAGGTGAGGCTAGACGTACTCCATGCAGCTGCTGTATGAAATGGAAATAAAGGAAAGTTAYAGTACCTATAGAGGTAAACCCGTGCGAAAGAGCGTTGACATTTCAAGCACTATAACCTTCTATCATTTCCATTTCATTACCACATAGGGCTATGCGGTCCACATATTCATATCTCACCGCCGTATGTTTCATGTTTGTGCTGAATAAGTCCAGTTTCGGTGCGCTGGGAGTAGCCACAAGTTCCAGAAGTTTTCGGTTCTTGAAAATTATTGGTCTATGTTTCTGAAATAAAACGAAGAAGTAGTTCTGTATTAAATGTTGGTGCGAAAAGCTTCTTAAGGCTGAGAGATACAGGACACTCAACTCGTCGCACAACATTTCGACGTTCTTGTTACGCACAAAAATAGGCCATGAAAAGAGTGAAACACAGACGTTTAACCTGACAATAATGCGGATGTTTCTATAGCTCGTGTTTCTGCAGGTTTGGGAATGTTCATTTGCTAAATGTTTTGGCAATCCATGCGCTAAAATTGTATACGACGCACAGTGATAGTATACGAATCACGCATTTTGAAATGACGCGCCTATGTTACTGGAGTACGAAAGATAAAAATATCAAGGATTTCTTAACAGGCATGTACTCTGTTGTCACGATCAGTGAAAAGAGAAAATGCTTGGACTTACCTAACAGTATAAAAATAAGCAAAACTGAATACCACATAATTTCCGAAATAAAATTGTTTTGGAAATATGGAATATCAAGAGACATGATAGAAACTTGATAGACAGAATGATGTTCGCCCCGAACCAGGATAGAACCAAAGATAACGATAAAAGCGAAAAAATAAAGAATCTTAAGATTGTAGGAAAAATAGAAAAAAAACACATGAACTCAGTTATTTAATACAAGAAGCACGAAAAAAATGACAAGAAGGRAATGAACTGAAAAGTATAACACAAACATGAAAAGTAGAAAAGATTAATGAAAAACAATGAAGAAGAAAAGGGAACACTAACTTAATAGGTGTGCTTAAGTCAAAGAGATTCTCTGCAATATAGGAAATCGTAAGGAGATTTTTGGAAGTCAGAAGTACATGCAATGGCACAGAAAAAATGTAGCTGAAACACTATCAAAGCGGACAAAATATAGAAAGAGCGAATCAGAAAGGAAGTTGGATCGAAACAATRTATATAACTGAGAAAGGTGATAAGCCATGGAAACAGAGGATCATACTTAAGCAAATGCATTAACTCAAAGAAAAAAAAGGAGAAAGTTTTTTAATCACAAAATTAGTAAAATAAAAATCGTCAATATCGAATAAATAGGATATAGTACAAAAGGATAAAATCAGGTCAAGAAACACTTTCTCATTTTTTAGTGGCCATTTGCGCATGTGGGACGTGTCTTCAATCAATAACTTGTAAGTTGTGTAATAACAATTCTACGACAAAAGATAATTGTAATCCACTGGTTTAAAAAAAAATTAATTAAACAGGAACCTGGTTAAGACAAAAATAGTTGAACAGTTGTTAAAAAAAGGCAACTGAAGTAATTTCAACCTTCTAGCACATACCCGCGATATTAAACCGACGATAGTTTAACTTCAAAGGTCTAAATTGACAAGAAGTCAATGAGATCAACATTATTTGGACGGATAACGAAGATAATAAAGTAAAAAACACCAAATGAATTTCGCGCTTAGGTAAATAATCAGATGAATTAACGAAATCGATTTCTTTTTTCGAACGTTTGATCAATGTTAGTTTTAATTAATCATAATAATTGTGAATTTCAGTTTGATTTGTTAAAATTAATTTGACCAAACGGTTTGTTTAAAAGATATATGATATATTAGTCGCAGGCATGGTATGACGGCCAAACAAGTCAAGTTATAATAATTTTGATAAACACAAAATGTTACGAAATTTCTTCCATGCATTTCGCAAGCAATAATTGTTTATGATGTTTAGAAAAGTTTTAGACTTTTTTCCTTTGGGCTTACTTCCCCATGTGATTATTCATTTGTACAACGAAATCTACTTCCCTGTGTTTTGCTATTTACTTTTATCCATTGCGTAACCCACATTTTTTTACAAATATTTTCATGGCCTTACTCTAGTCGTTTTTCTATTAGGATACAAAGCTCCAYAAGAATAAACGATGTCTTTCTAACTCCCTAAAGTTTCGTTCGTACCCTAGCCTTTAATTCAAWTTTTTACTGTCGCTCTTCAAATTCTGATTTACAATCCAGACATTGTTTTAAGTTTTCACTAATAACTTCCTCGGTTTGTAGACATCAGTAGAGGTTACTATAGAGGCAAAGTAACATTGAGATAGTTGCAATAAGAAAACCCTCACATCTGCAGCTCAATGAAGAACAACGCTGCTTCGATTATCAAACTTTGAATTTGACACTTAGGTGGTCAACACTCCTTGCAGGTAGCCTCTGTCTGACGAAGGGAAACCAAAACACCTGTCAAGAAATCTTTGGAGCAAGGGCGAACCGGCTTAGAAACTCATATGGTCCCAGTGAACGGGGTGTTTTAACCCACTGCTCTCTACAATAAAATSACTCTGAATACTACCGTTTTTTTTTCTGTACTTTTTTCACGCCTTTCAATCAGTCCCTACTTTASCTGTTTTAAGATTTTTTTGACATTTTGTAGTTTACTTTRGGTTAGCTTTATTCATTATTTTGCACTTGTAATTCCTCAATTTTCTTTCACTTTGGCTTATAGATATACTAGTAAGTATAATTCCGCGTATAGTTTATTTGATATTTGAAAGAGGGAATGCGTTCCTCTACTAAAAACATAAGAGAAAATAAAATACTATTTTTGTGTAGTATTTTTCTGTCTTTCTTTCGTAACTATAATAGAGAAGGAACATAAAATAATAGACCAAATCAGATAAACAGCTTCAATTAAACTCGCATCACAAAGACAAAAAACACCTCTGATTTAAAATAGAACTCAATTAATTCTAATAGTTGAGTAAGATTTCTTGATAAATGTAATGATCTGCCATTGAAATGCCAGAAAGAAAGAAAACGAAGAAAAGTTTTGAATAGCGCTTTAAATACTTGATTAGGGAAGCAATTATTTCACATTCCTAAAACTTAAATCCCCCTTTTTTTTCTAATTTTACCGAATTGTTCGAATAATGTGTCTGGGGCACATTTGATCAGTAATAATATTGTTATTTCTGGATTACATTTTACATGCAGACTTCAAATCAATATTTAATGAATATTAAAGGAACTAACTGAACTTGTAATCAACAAAGGATACGACAAAACCCAAATCAATCAATTTTATATTTGCAAAGCATGTCATTCCGAAAAATATATCCGTATTTTTTTACAAAATTATCAAAACTCTGTTAGAAAATTGAACATTTATAGCGGAATTAAGTGTTTTTGCCTTCACTTTTGTATAATTCATTATTGCCATCTTATAAAGTCCTTAAATCTGTTCAAATAATTTGAAGTCTCTTTCCTTTACAAGGATTAATAACTTTAAAATTCCAAAAAAATCCTACAATTTCTATTGTTTTGTTAACGTTTTGCGTAAAATTAAGTGCTACTCTTTATTTGACTCTCAATTTTTGGTCTATTTTTGYGATTTCGTAACGATAAAAAGTCTTTAGATTCTTCAAATTATATCAAGATAGCTTAGATTAGTTTACTACGAAAAGGCAGCCATGAATCTCACTTGAAGCCTGCCACCTGTTCTGATTTGGCCTCTTTAGCGCTCGCTATCTATCTTCTTAGGCCTCTTCGATGTCTTTTCTAACCAATCTCAGAATAATGTAAAGAAATCACAATTTGATTGGCAGGTGTCTCTCGCCGCTCGTTTGTAATTTACACGTTCTCTTTAGAGTTATGGCAGCTCATGAGCCGTCTTCCGTACAAGCTTGACAAAAGAGGAATTGCTCCGGTTTGGAGATAAAAACGACTGCTAATTTCATACCATACACTATCGGGATATTAGTTAAAATAAAGCGAGCCGATAGCTGTATATTAAAGAAGCGATAATTAAAATTATAATAACTCAAATCTAAGGAAAACAGATGATAGGATGAAGAAATGATGATAAAAGTCGATGGTTAAGTTTACTATGGGACTGCGATTTTGACTGATGTCCAGCCGACGAATTTAGATATATTTAATTCGTTTCTGCTTTGCAAACGAACTTGGTTCATTATTTTCTCATTAAACGCATCCAAAAGAAACCCTTCTTCAAGTATTTGCTGATATTTTGTAAAGTTTACTTAACAAAGTAATAAAATCCCCTTCATCGGCGCAGCATCACGTCGAAAGAAACGCAAAACAGAAGTCGCGCAGAAAAAGAGATAATTTTTGAGGTGTCATAACGGACTTGCGCGGAAGTGGACCAGAATGAGTCCCAAAATCCGTGCCATTCTGCAGAATTGAATTAATTTCAAAGGCGTAAGATTTGCTTTTTGTGTTGATTGTTTAGATTATGGCCATTTTCTGTGTAATTCGGCTAATAATAGACTAGTAATAATGATGCGTACAGGTGAACCATGATTGACGTCCAACCTGCGATAGTTCAATTTCCTCAGCGTTATTTCTCAGCTCAAGACAATAGCTAATTACCCCAAAACCAACGATTAAACTGATTACAACTATATTTAAGGCACAGTCATTCACAACTGACTACACAACTAGTCCACAGCCTCGGACATCACACATCACAACATGGACCGAGAAATGACCTATTGCTTCTCGATCTCGCGAACGGAGGGATTGACTCCTATCAAACGCTCTTCATTCGCAATCCATGACATCCTTGGACTGGGGGAAAAAGACTCGAAGCCCAAAACCGATTCGTTACTGCAGCAAGGTTCTCCAGAGCGCTCTTTTCATGCCACCGTTAACTCAGCCCTCGACATAATACCGGAAAAATTCTCTGGTAAGTTTTCAAGTTGCTTATATATATTAGCTCGGTGAAAATAAGAACAGGAAATATCGTAAATGTTGTTGTATCAAGTTCCGCAAAAACAGCGGTGAAAATGATGAGGAAAAAATGGGTTCCCTGTAAAGTTGTGTACATTGAAATAGCGAGCGCGTGGTCATAATGAACTATAATGCTCTAATTAACTATTCTTCGCCCTTTGCTGTCAAAGGCCTTTTCAAGCCAGAGATCTCATGCCCAAAATGATTCTCGCATCGATATTTCTCAAGAGCTGTGTTCTGAAGGCTATATTCTTAAGATAGTAAGGAAAATATGAGCTGGTGTGAAAAGCCCTAAATTTGGTGATTATAAGATTGAGTGGTTTTGGGAAATCTCGAATTTAATAAGAACGACAGCCGGGAAAAGCGTTTTGAAAACGTTCGATGTCCTTGACGAGAGATGATGATGTACTAGCATATTTAATTTTCACTGTTTGTATTTTCCATTATCGCTGGATGTAAAAAAATTCTTCTTTTGCTAATACGTTCATAATTTGTCTTAGATACTTTGTAATATTTCACTTATGATTACCTGCGTTTTCATTTTTGATTAACTATGTGACTATATAAATAACATTTTCTTGATTTAAAAGATCTGCGAAGCAGCTCCAAGAATGAGCCATCAAGCTTACTGGTATCACATGAAAAGCTCGCTGGCAAGAAGACAAAAAAGAGACGACATCGCACGATCTTCACAAACTTCCAGCTCGAGGAATTAGAAAAAGCGTTTAAAGACAGCCACTATCCTGATGTTTATGCAAGAGAAAGCCTCTCGATTAAGATAGACCTTCCAGAGGATAGGATCCAGGTATGTTTATATACACTCAAATTATTTTGAGAGACGTTTATCAGTTCAAATGAAGACTCATTTATGTAACAACCTTAACATTCAGCCACAATAAAATTCTCTTTGCATTTATTTATAATTCACACAGTTCATGTTACAAAATCCTTAAATAGCAAGAAAGAAGGAAAGATCAATTGTAAGAAATCTAGCTGATAGTATCTTATGATGAAGATCAAAAATAGGAAAAAACGCGGCAATTCTAATGAGCAACGACGGTGTTCTCTTACTGTGTTTATTTGTTTTAATGGCTTCGGTTTTTCTACATCGAATGTTTTACTTAATAGTGTTGAAAAAGCAGAGAAAATTACTCGGTGGATTACTGTTCATTACCCTTCATTAAGACTATGAACTGCTTGTAATTACGGCAATTATACACTACTTGGGCTACTGACAGGTGCATTACATCAACAGACGCAACCATTCAAAGCAGCTATAATAAATCAAAACTTAAAAGACACATTTACGATCTAGAGTTCTTAATCTCGGCACAATCTAACACCGTACTCAAAAGAAATCAACTCCTAGGCGCGTGATCGTCTTTTCGCTGCCACGCACTTTATTTGATAAAGTTCTGTTCTTTTTTTCTTCGAGTTCAACTTTCACTCAAAGGAAATTATGTCAAAACTGAGAAGTTTTTTTGAAGTAAATTATTAGCTATTGAAATTGAGCGGAAAAAACTGTCTGTTCTAATGCTCTGATTTTCAATGTGAATTTGGGTCTATTGGTGTCGCTTGTGATCGGAAGTGCGCCGAACGAAGGCTAACACAACAGTTTTCTAGCAACGTTAATTAGAGTTTGAAGTCTGAACCATAAGATTCGTCTGGCGAAAGTATTTCATATTCACTTACTGGTAATTGTTTTCCGAGTCTTAATTCAGGGCGGCCTTTCGGTCTAGTCGCCAAGTTTATTTAACACTCTTCAGTTTTTATTACTGCTCAAACAATGCGCGCTATCGAGTTCTTTCGCTACGGAAGCAGCCCAGATAACGTGGGAATAATTTTAATAAATCTTAACAGGAAACACACATAGCCTAATGAAGGTTTCATAAGCCACTCGTCAGCGTTCTTGAGTAAGTTTTCCCKGCCTTGATATTAATATAGTTTGAAAATACGCGACAACGGCCATAGAGCTGTCAAATCACTCGGTAAACTGTCTTGTCATGGCTAATGTGGATTTGACAGACTTTTAGTTAAGGTTGGTTCAATAGGTTTTCAAGACATTGCTAAATGGATATGTTTTATTAAATCATAAATACATATACCGGCATGTATACATGTTTTTACATAAAGTAAAAGAGAGGGTTTTGAATTTAAACGAAGCTGGGGTAACGGTTTATTTGTCCAAAAGGTCTAAAAAACTTCCAGAGCAGATTCACTCATCGTATCGGGAAAAAATCTTTAGCAAAAAAGAGACGATTTAAAAATGCAAAATCTTTGAGCTGACTTACAAGATAAACGTGAAAATACCCTAATCGGAACAACAACAACAACAACAACAAAGACAGAAAGAAAGTTCGAAATGAGCACAATTATATAGAAAACAACTAAGAAATCACACCCACAAATGCTTATTTTTGACAATTGCTGAGTGACAGCATTAARTTGGAAGAGAAACTTTTTGGTCTAATGTTAAAAGGAAAAAAGGAAGTTTGCTTTGCTTATATTGGCCTTGAAAACGAATTGTGGCAGAGCACATTTGCTAATCACGCGCTCGCTAAATTTTAGCCTCTGGTTAAAACGAAAATTAGGTTTAAACCTTAGGGGTAGTGAAGGCTTTTTACGAAGATTATCAGGCCAGTTTAGACTTCGGAAATGATTAGACCGCTGTAAACTTCTATTATTTATCAAGTTGAATGCTTTGCACGCACCACCAAAGTCAAAATCAAATACATTTTTGATAAAAAATACAATCTGATCCTGGGCAATTTTGGAAGTCATTGTTGCGACTATTTCAAATGATGCTTGAATTCTGATTTTATCATGAAAATATAACGATGTATAAAATGTTTTTAACCAAGAATTATTTGCAAAAAAAAAAAAAAAAAACCGAAAAAAAAAACCGATAAAACATCATTACACTTTGAAGTTTGTAGTTGTATAATTCTAAACTGTCAACGCCACATCAAAATAGAGAAAAATTCTTACTCAAATCAAAGATTTGAAATTGCTTTATTCTAAATATTTTATTGTTTCCAATATGAAAAGTTAAAATCAGTTGAGCGTTTTACAATCTTTATTTATCTTGCAAAACGCTTATTAATTTTATACACATTTTACTTCTTGGGTGTTTACCGAGGATGAAATAATCAGAAACACAAATTTACTCGTTTTACGAATTAAAGTCAAAGTGAATTAACACTGTTAGCCTAATTCTACTTTCAGACATTAAAAAACACAGGTTCTTTTGAAGCTTTAACGTGACAGAAAACATCTTATTGTGTTCGCTTGATGTTGGTTCTTTGTCAAATAAACATCAAAATTTCACATCCAAAGACACACAAAACATGCATAAAAGGACACCTACACTTATGAATTGGGTTTTTAATTTACGCCGAGTGATATTGCAAGCTTTCCCTTACAAATATTCACGTGTAACTGTACAATTTTTTAAGTTATTTCCCTGCAAACTAGACTTAAGAGAACGTTGATTTTGAGAAAGATTTCAAACATCAAAAACGATTTTAGTTAATTTTTTAATACAGAAAAATATAAAATTGTTATAAGCGACATAGCGTTTCCTTTAGAGGAAAATTTTGAGTTTTTTTTTTCAAACTGTAACCGCAAGGCGCAAAGACGAGAACTGMAAATGGTCGAAAAGATACGCGCACTTTGAGGCGAGGGGGAAAAATCCATCAAATGATTCCCACCTAATTTGAGGAAAATTACCATTCATTAAGCAACAAACTGCTGTGGTTTTGTTTTACAGTGATATTGCTATAGGAATTTGCTATCCAATGCCCACTAAGAACGAGAAATAACTTATAAATGTGAAAATTCACAATGCATATWGAGCGGTGGGGGTCAAAATAACGTTATTGTAGCCTAATTTTCGATTACTTTTTCTCTCCATCAAACATCATAACAAATAAGAAGCAATTTCAACATTTTTACTTTACACACAAAGAAAGAATTGGAAATAAGGTTGTTTTGTAATATACCAAACAGTAAACTAAGTTCTATATTTCGTATTTCTACTGCAATGGAAAAGCTGTATTGTTAATAATTCATCACAAACAACTCCTGAAAAAAGCATTTCGATGCTGGCGTTCCTTTTTTAGTAGAACGCCATAGGGTACCTTCTTATAAAGATGGGCTAATTTTGATGGTGGTGTGCCGAAAAGTTAAATGAAAACTCAAGCCTTAAGGCGACATTAAAAATTCTAACTAGCCTAATATTACGCGATAATGATTTTTTTCATTTTTTCTTTCTTCCTTTATTCTTGATGAAAACGTGCTAAATAGACTGTAAGATTACATAGCTGAGTTCTTTGAAACTCCGAAAGACCATCTGCTTTCCCGTATGACAGAAAAGGAAGTTAGAGCTGAGATGAGGTGAGTTGAGGCCTCTTCCTGGCGCGGCTTTCATCGAAAAACCGTTATTTCCTATATTGCGGTCATTACATTGCTCAATTTATGGCTCAGTATAAAATAGCTTAACCAAAACGTGWGTAAAAATCYAAGTGCAGTAATTACTAAGCGTTTATCGAGATAAGTTTGAAAGTAACTCATGCAAAGGGCTGATGGAAAAACTCGYCAAAATAAAAGCGAAATTGTTTCGCTGCTAAAAACCCATGGCAACTCCCTTATTATTACAATTAAATTGCTAATAAAGAAGTTCAACGAGCCGTACAAAGTTTGTTTCTTTAGGTTCTAGATAAGAGTAGGATTTATACGTAATTATGCCGAGTCGTTGAACAAGATAACGCTTTATCTTGGCGCGCGCGATTTCTACGAATCGATCGAGATTACTTAATGATGTCCAAAACAGTTCATCATTTTTTTTTAGATTCAAATCAATACGAAGTCGGTCTCCAATAAACTAGCCCCAAGCAAATACAATCAGCACATCGAGATACAACAGAAATGCCGCTCTTATGCTTAATTAGACCTAGGAATTGTAATAAATTTCGGCTATTTCGTGCTTGTAAGGCAGCATTGATAAGTCAATCAAAAGTTCTTTTGGCGTTAGGCCGACCTGAGAAGTAGAGAACAAGAAAACTGAACGAAAAAAATACGAATAAATAATGAAGAGAAAAATTCTTCTGGATAAAAATCTTAAAATATATTGCCTACGAGAAAATTTAAAATCGAGATAATGYTACTGACAATTTTTTTATAATTTCAAAATCAATTTCAACAATTTCCTTCACACGAAACCTTAACCCATTTGTTGGTACCTTGTAAATATTCCAATGTTGAAACAAAATGTAAAATATTATGAACGGTCAAATAATAGTAAAATTATTATTTTGAACATGTAGTCTCCCAAGACACACCCAAAAACACTTCATAGTGTKTAAATTAGTGATCTTTCGGAAGGGTTTCTGAAAGGATTAGTCCATTCCTTATTAACTTAATAGGGCCCTAATCACGTACCAGGCAAAGCCTCAGCCCCACCGAACTTTAAGCCAGAAAACAGTGGCCAAATATTAAAGATATCGGATCTTAGGTCTTATCTGGCGCTAATGAGCTGGGGTGAAAAATGTCCCTAATGTGTTGAGTGAGTTTTAAGGGCCGTTGTTTTACTAATCAGTTCTTTTGAAGGACGTTTTTTGCGCTATATTGTCACAGAATGCAGTCATAAAAGGTTTTTACTGTCACAGTGAGAACTAATACTATCAAACTCGCCTCTTATCGGAAAATGGGTTCTTTTCTTTTAAGTTTAAGTGCTACCTAGTAGCTATATGATGAGGAGACGAGAAAAAACAGATTGATAAAGCCGTGGACATCTATTATAAAGACAATAGTTCCATTGACATCATGTTGAATCGAAGCTTCTGTTTGAAAACATCTTCTGTCAAGACAGCGTAAATGAAACTCTATTGTATTACGGCTGAATAAAAAAAGGTTTTTTAGCCTTTATAAGCCTCTTACTAACAGCTAAATCAAGGTATATTGCGATTAAACCTAGGCGATGAACCTATTAAATGATATCTTTCTTATATTGACGTCGTTTTACTGCGAAATCTTATAGTGTCTGCGGTTAAATGCTATATTACGAATCTGAGTTTGGAAATAATGAACTGTAATAGCAAAAACCATAAATATATTTGACCTTGAGTGTACATTTTTACATTAAAGGTACAAAAGGCATTTGGTATAATAGGCAACGACAACAAAAAATGAAAACGCCTTTTTGAATAAAAGCCCTTAATTTTCCTATCGAAATACCCAAAAAATTCTTTTTCCGATTATTTYACGCATAAGTTTAGTTTTGTAATAAGAAGTCCTCTACGCAAATTACTTTTACACACTTGCATGTGTAAATGATGGTCAAAAACAACAAAGAAATCAAGACATTTTAATAGGACTGAATGATGAGCAAATTCATTGAAAGCTGGGTAAATTGCTTTCGATAATTAATAGCAAATTACCGAAGAAATTCTCACACAAAAGAGAATTTCATACTCACACAAAGCCAGTTAGTTAGGTCAAGAGTAAAAATAGACCTCTGTAACAAACTCTATTGGGCTCTTTCCCATCAAACCAAAAAGGCTGAATAAGAAAAATCACAATTCTGAAACTGTTAAGCGAAGGAAATCCCTTGAACACTATTAAAGTAACGAAAATGTGTGGTATTCTATTAAATTTAGATTTCGAGGCAGCTGAGTATAGCGTTGAAATGGCTTACAAGCCCATTTAGTACTTATTCCAAATTGTTAACCACGTTTTTTCATAGATGGGTCAATATAATAWAATTTTAGGAAATATCTAAGTCAAAATACTACAGTGTACTTAATAATGAAGCTATTATACCCTCGAATCTTTGAGCTTATTGTTTAGATTTGTGTTTAATAGGATAGCAAAGCAAAACAACTCAAATAGTCATTACAGTCATGCATTTGACCAATACTGCCGCGTTCGAGGACCAAAGCGAAGATCAAGTGGATCAAACAAACAACTAGAGTGGGCTCTTAAAACAGTACACTTTTATGGAGTGTTTAGCAAAAAAAAGACTATCCCCAAAATGGCCCTGAATATCTTATAAGTGAGAAAATAAACACATTTTTGACTTGATATTTCATACATTGCAAATATTGCACGTTTTTTTATATCCATTTTAGATTTCTGAGGTATAGTACTTTAGCAGTTCCTAAGTCATTAATTAATTGTCTTCGAATTAAGTATTTCTAATTCTAGTTAATCGGTAAATAGTCCAACGTATACTACCTACAATCTTAAGAAGTTGTTAACGACCGACAAGTGGCAAAAAATCATTGAAAAAAGGTTCTTTGTCTCGTCGTCATTCGATTTATTGTCGTAAGATTAGCACCAAAAGCCTGAAGGCAATTCGTGTGTTGTGATTGTTGTTGGCGACAATCAGTTAAAGAAATAATTGCAAAAAGTCGAAAAATAACGAGGAAGTAGTCAAGGCGGCACAAGGTGTAGTGAAATGTTTTCATGCGGGTCTATTTAGGCATTTAAGGCTAAAGGCACTTTGTACGAAARCACGTCAACAACTTCATCTTCCTCTTTCGAATCACGTGTCAGTATATATGGGTTATATATCTATAACTTAAGAATGACTTATCCGGCAAGGGTAGCTATTGAGCTCACTAGTACGACTATTGCCATGGAGTAGTCTTTAATGAACAAACGATCACAGTATYAGCATGGAAGACTGCGATGTTATGAATTTTTGATTAGTTGAAAAAAAAGTAATTATACTCTACGATAAAATAGGTACCATAATGTAGCAAATTACATAAATGGCAGAACAATTCAAACTTTTAGCCGAATTCCTCTTGGAGATTTTAATGAAGAGGCAGGGCGTCTCAATTAATCTTTGTTCGCCTCCTCGACGCGCCGTAAATTCGCGCACAAGTAGACAATTTCACAATGATGGCGTTAATGTCTGTGATCACACGCTGATTTTCAATTGAGAAAAAGTTTTGTTTCGTCTGCACGGGTGCTAATCGTTTGCTCGGGCTAAAGTAAACTGAACCCGAATAGTCGATTTAGTATAGGTTACCACACCCCTATTACTTAAATGACTTGTACCACGTCCGCTATACCGGGAGACAATTATACATAGGAAAATAATCTCAGTTTTTGAGCTACTTTGTTCAAAATAGACTAGAGATAAGCTGGCTTTTAGCTGGTAAGAGATTAAGTTATCATAAAAAAGATTTGAGAGCTTAAATAAGTCAATAAATTATTTCTTCTCTAAACTGTATACTCAAATACAAATGGAATCCTTGTTACAAAAGAGCATTATGTTCCCTACTGGGTAAAAACCTAGCCCGCCCTAAAGGCATAATCCCAACCCCTAAACCCATCAAAATACCAATTGATCTATCTTACTACTTTATTATACGAGCAATTGCTAAATCTGAAAGCTCTACTGATATAAGTACGAAAAAATTAAATGGTAAAAAAAAGAAAACAAATTTGAAATATTTACTGAAAATATGTGACAAAACTACCACCAATAGAGCACTAATCGTCCAATTAATAAGCGGCTTACAACAAAATGCTCAATAAAGATTATACAAAATGTTCACTGTCAATGTAAACTGCGTCTAAAAAATATAATCACAAAAAAAAATATTTTAAAAAAATTGAATTTTTACGATTAAAATCTCTGAAGTGGTACTAGGCTAGCCTAATCTTTAGAAAAAATGAAGTAACCAAAATACTACTTTGTACGCTATGATTTTCCTCACAAATAACACAGGAAGTGCGTAATWGAAAAAAGTGAAAGGAAATTTGGAAAAAGAGAATAAAGTAATGATTGGAAAGGAAATTAAGAGTGTACACCAAGGAATGGCAAAGTAAAGGTCCACTTAATAAGCAAGTTTCGATTAAATTATCAAAGATTGTACTAAGCGATAGTCCTGGACTTGAACATCTGAACTGAACAGTGATTGACTACGCGCAGTTTAACAGGATATGTAATTTTCGCGCGTGAAAAAGAGAAAGTAAACAACAACGTATTTCAGAAGCCGTTCAATAATAAACAGCCACTTTCTTTTCATTTGGGGTTTTTAGTTTAGGGAAATAAGATGATGATAATCTGATAACAAGGACTTTGTGTAATAAGAGATGAGTTTAGCTCATTTCTTGTAATGTCCCCGCATGTGTGTTCAMGATAAGAACGAGGTTTTTTTTCTTTCCTGGAGTTGTGGAAACATCTTCCTAGCGTCTCTAATCAACTCATTAGATTTGTAACAATAGGAAATCAACTGTTTTTATTTATTGATCCAACCGATCAAAACGCACATACAAAAGCGTTCTAATGATGGAACAGCGAGAAACGGATGAAAAAAGAACGTCAGATTGCGCTCCCTGCCAACTTGAACTAACTTGGCCCGAAGCCATAATTTCCGATCCATCGACCTTATCGATGCCATCTCATCCTCAGGAGTGTGTTATCTTGACTCTGTGTAGTAAAATTAATTTTGTTCGAGGCTTTTTTATATTATCAAAGCAAGGTTAAACGACGTATTGGTTTCGATCGGAAGGGAATGCCAAATAGTGGCACATGGTCAAATTATAACTGTTAAACATCGCTGTAATATATTGATATTTACATTCACCAAAGCAATTTTTAAACTTAATTCAAGAATATAAACAGACATTTGATAAGAACTCGTCTGTTTTTGTAACTCAACGTGTTATTCACAACAGATGAAAGGACTTAATAATGAATCGAACTGAAATAATGCCGGAATTGATTCACATGTACACAATGTAAAAAAATTGCCTAGTCTTTCGTTAAAATTTCCTCTCTTTATAAAAGAACTGTGTTACTTTTTATGATATAGAAGCATGCTGAAAAAACTTTGAAATCAAGCTTGATCGAGTTTATTTCTTATAAGAYTCAAGATTTTCTAGCTTTTCCTTCCTTAGAACTTCAGAGCTAACCTTTGATGTACATCTAGTTTTCAGTTTTTGCACCTGTGCTGATATTATTCTTGCATTTCAAGTTTTCTTTTAGTACTATTGAKAATATCTTTAGTAGACTCCAACTTTGACTTTAATTTCAAAAAATAAAATGTTTTTGGGCGAGGTTTATCTCGTCAAATCGAATAATCACAACATACATTAGAAGAGAAGCAATCAGTACTGAGCTTTAAAGAATAAATATAGTTTATTAAGGAGTCGTAAACACCTAATTGAAAAAACGTTGTCTGCCGGCTGAAAAATCACATAGAAGAAGATACGACCGAAGGGGATATTAGGCTATTTCGGTACACGGAAATTTTAATCACTAGCCCAAACAGAAGCAAAGTATTGTCAATATTGCTTGTATTAATATTCTTTGCTTCCCATGCTCCCTTTCGGTCTTTGGTGAGATAAGTCTACTAAAGCCGACTTGCTGTTGGCTTCATGTAATGTTGTTCAATTACTATGATTATCTGCGGTCAGTACGATTCCATAGTCACATTGTGAACAATAAATCAATGCAAATATTCACATTATTATTATTATCTAATAATTTGCAACTTTATTTCACACAGGTTTGGTTCCAAAACAGACGTGCAAAGTGGCGAAAGAAGGAGAAATGCTGGGGACATAGTTCAATAATGGCCGAATACGGTTTATACGGGGCCATGGTACGACACTCCCTACCCCTTCCTCCACACCTAACCCCAAGCACTGCCCCATGGTTACTAGGAATGCACAAGAAAGCAAAGCTTGCAGAAGAGACCGGCAAATCCGACTCCAACGAGATGTCAGATAAAGTCGAAGAAAGTGAGGAAGACAGGCGGACAAACAGTATCGCTTCTCTGAGGAAACGAGCACTTGAACACATTACCAACAACTTCAAACAAGACCAAGAAATTGCTGTTAAGAACATAAAACAAGAACACGAAGAGAGATGCGATAGTCCTGTTTCACCAGCACTTTCAATATAATTCTAGTAAGTTTACAAATGAGTACAGAACAAAGTCAATGTCAAAATAGAAAGCGTTCTTTAGTGACCGGTAGAAAGATGGGTGATTTTGCACGGATTCGTCCCAAATTTCTGAATATTGCGTAAAGGAGATCGCAAAACTCAACTATTGCTTAAACCCGTTTCAAGTCGAACCTTACATGTGTCTAAGTCAATGAAAATAAAGAAACAAAAGAGTAAAGTAACTTTACGCTGCTCTAGTGGGCGCAATTCAGAAGAAAATTTCCAGCATCCCTTGTAAAAATTTGACCAATCAGACACAAATTAAACTACACAATCTAAGGAGATTGGGTACGGATAAACATTTTCAGCTAACCATCAACTTTAAAGATTTCTTTGTCARACGTGAAAACGTACGGTTTGTTTATTTATGCACCTTTGTTCGAATTTTTGGTTACCATTGAACGGTTTTCGTTGTAAATAATMAAATACTTACAGACTACATAGATCCGTTAACAGAAATAATATAATAATTTYTGAATGTCAGAAGGCTGTGCGCTTTGATAAATAAATCCCGCGGCCTCACTGCACCCATCTAGTGTTTCTCGTCGATTGTAGCACTGGTTAATTCAATAGAGGAATGCATGGAAACTGAACCACATGATACTATACGGAATAAGTACAAACTTGTAAGTTATATTTGAGAACTAGAAATAGATACATTTCTCGCGAGACGATACAATAGTCATTTTTTACACTCAAAGGTTTAGCGCGGTAAGACAACTTGTTTTCTTTAAAAATCTTAAGATGTTTGAAGAATATGATAGAGAAAGTGAGATTTTAAATTTATGAAAACCTTTGTCAAAGGTACAACACTAAAACAATGTTACATTATGTAATTTTTATAGGATATATACAATAGATTTGTGAGACTTTATTCATTTTATCTCAGTTGATTATTGATTCCTGAATTAAATGACTTGCACCTTTTTTATGTTCATTATAGACAAATACTTGCATGATATTTAAATAATCTAAATTCGTTAAGATTGGTTTATAGATTAATTATATAATCTTGCCTGTTTAAAAGTAAAAAAAAAATGACGGTAATCCTGTGGTAAATGCAGCTAAGGAGGACTAGTTCTACTTTCTATTTTATTCCCCCAACAACTTAATTACCACAGGAAATCAATTGGCTAAAGAAACCTCCTGTCAAAAAAGATGGAAACTTATTAAGAGGTGAACATGTACATAATGTTAAGTAGATATTTATACATAAATTCACTAAAAATCAATTCGAAATTGTAATGCATCGGCAAAACGGCAAATAAATGTCATTCTATTCTACCTTTAGTTCAATTTCTTGTCTTTTGGTGAAGCGAGTTTTTTAATACTGCGATGCGCTCATCGATGGCATCCAACGACATACCCTAATTAATAATAAACATAAATGTCTAAAAATATAGAAAATGAGCAACTGGGACAGAAGTGGTGGGTGGGATACAAGCGGGAACCTTGGCTGAGAGAGAATTCCCGCCCATGTCTTCACGATTTTATTTGGCCTTCCACATGATGCRAAATAGGCGATATGCATTATGGCGTCATTTACAACAACTATACCAGAATGCTTTGCCAACTTTCTTTTGTAATGCAATTAGTGCCAACTGTTTTATTAATCTCCAAGGGGATTAAAAATCTGAATAACAATGAAAATRCGCAAGGCTCTCTGGTAGTGGTAGTAAAGTTACGTCATAATGCAAACGGCCTATTTGCGCCGTATAAACAGTGAGAGTAGTAGTAGTAGGAGTCTTCGTCACAAACGTCACAAACCCAGTATCAATCTCTTAGCCCACACTAGGTATTCTGGTTGAATAGTCACGCACAAAAGTACTGAAGACGAGGCTTAGGGGAACGGATTATCTGTTGCTTCCCTTGGTCATAGTCTTCACTTCTTATGTGAATGGTAAGTCAGCAAAAATATTGAAAGAGGGCTGCTATTGTACCTCATATGACGGCGAGATGGTACTTTGCTTCCCTAGTACATACGATCTATTCCTCTGCAATGTCTAAACACAAAATCACATCAAACTACAAGCAACATGAACAACAACAAATAAATAATTTTATGATATAATTATCTACGAAATGCCTTTGCTTTGCTTACTACTGGAAAAGAAGCCAGGCCAACGTCCACCGAACACTATTAAGGGTCTAATCCAGATACGATTGGCTTTGATAGCTCAGTTGTTAGAGCATTGCACCGGTATCGCAAATGTAGTGGGTTCGAATCCCGATTCTTTTTCTGGCTTCTTTTCCAGTATTAAGGCTACATTCGCAWTTCTATTTATTATATCAACGTAACTACTGAAGGCACATTGCATATTTAAAAGGATGTTTTTCATAAAAAAATCGTGACGTTATGTTGGGACCATCAAAAAAACTCAAAACACCCTGAGAAAGATAGTTTTTTCGTGAAGAGRGTGGAGGGAGAGGACCAATAGGGAAAACCACCATGATCACATGCTAAGACGCTAGCTTCTCTGCTAGCTTCTTAAAGGTCCACATGGATGCAAGGACCTTTCCGCGATTTCCTCTAAAACGAAAATCGGCCATTTTTGATTTAAATCGAATTGGAAAGCAGCTTCCAAATAGAAATTATTAGTAAATCAAAAGGAATGAATAGATGCACGTGAGCCTTTAAGGTGCTCGAGGGCTGGGTGATTTGMGAAAATGCGACTAGCCAATCAGCGCAAAGCTGACAAGATTATGTTGTAAACATAACCCTCCGACGGGAGGAATTTGCAATGCAAAACTCGACCCAGTGGAGTGGCTGTCTGTCATTTTATTCTATCCGAAAAATCAACGCTAAAACGCAAAGAGAAATTGAAAATCTTTATAAAATAGCTTTTAAATGTCAATCAAATATTTATCGTTATAGAAATAGAATTTTATCTTAAAAATGAAATAACAAATAATTTTTTCTTTAATACCACGAGACTCCCGTCYGCCCTGATAAAAATAATTGGTCTGTGTTCTACGCGGGTTCTCCATTGAATGCGAAGCAATGCCCGACTACACGAAGACTTCAGAAGGTCGTTGAAGTGACGTTCAAGTCCAAAGTATCTTAGGAAGAGCCATTGCAAATCCTTTCTCTTAGCTCTTGTTTTCTCTAAGCTTTGAGGTATCTAAAACATCACTGGAAGAGCTAGAGTAGCTTAGCTCCACGCAATTGTCCACGTATTCCAATAGTTAAAGCGTTTGTTATTTTTGGTACAAACAACTGTCAGGAGGAGCCGACGAGTTCCTGAAAAAAATGTATATGTTCTTATGTCCCAGCCAGCTGTAAATAAGTCACAACTGTTTGCCAGCGAGAAATTCAGAAAGAAAAAGAACTCTGCAGACAAGGAATACTTTCTAAGAATTTTTGCCAGGAAAATGAAAATTTCCTAACTAAAAAAAGAAAAGACTTTTTTGACCATAAAAACGTTGTATAAGCCTTTTCGACCTTAAAAACGTTTGCCAGGAAAAAAAAAGTATTTTAAAGAAGGGCGCCACGTTTGCTTGTCAACAATGTAGCTTAAAAACCCTTTCCCAGGAAAAAATTCGTACAAGAACAGTTATTTAGAAGAACAGACACGGTCACCTCCTCCTGAACTGTCGGAGTTCACGATACAACGGGTTGACGTTATATAACACGTCAGTTACACATTTACTAGCTTTGACCTTRCAACGAGATAGAACGGTGACTGGGKTTTTTCGTGTAATGTCTTGATGGCGACTGTTTATGTCGAAACGACTCTAAACAAAATTCCATCGTGAAAAAAGTTCCCTTCTGAAAAAACACGTTTGTATTTAAGTTGGAAAATGTTTCATATGAGCATTCAATTCTTAAAGTTTTAATTCTATAATCATTTTGTTTAGTTATGTAAACAAATTTAACACGACTTGTACTGTTTGTCTGAGTGAAAGGCGAGCTGCRGGTTTTCCCTTTTTAACTCGAAAAGAAATCAAAGAAATATGGGTAATCTGGGACTTGAACCTTGCGCTCGCCCCTACTTGTCTAGAATGGAAGTTAAAATAATAAGATTTTAACGAAAAAATCTGTATTCAAATCTCGCTTACTTAAAATTCTATTTGTAAAGTAAATCTAATTTAATTCGTTGTATTGTTCGGCCTTGTTCAGTCACAAAGGAAATATGAGGAAGACTCGCCGATCCGACTAATTCGATTCGAAAATCATTTTACATGTTTTATTTATCCACGTTAGTCCACAATACTCCAATTTCGAGTTGTGGTTTGCTCTGTGTTAGCCTCAAAACCAAGTAACATATTCTTTTGTTTCATTGATTGCTCGAGAAAACGCATGGAATTTTGTGAAGAAAGACAATAAATTTGATTTGAAATCTCACACTTTTACGCTCACAATAAGGAATATTTTGCGCACAAATGAGGCTAACACAGAGCATTGGAGAATTCGAAACTGGAGTATTCAAAAAATGTATTCGCTCGCTACCGTATTATTACATTGTAATATTTGATTTATAGTTTATTGTGTGGTTAGATATCGATAATACTATTTAGAGCCTCTACGGAAACTGGCTAACACTAG